TGATATGTCTACATGCCCCAGCAGTGCTCTTCACACGACAGTTAAATAGCAAGGAAGTTGAGTTGAAATAGAGCAATCATATGGCCTGTTCTCAGTATCAGAACAATCAGTTATTTAAGAAAAAGATATGAAAGCCATCAGTTATGTCACCAAGTATACTCCTTTTAAAATACCATTTTCCTTAGTAAATGTTGGTTACATCTACCTTGGCAATTACAGATTTACCATCATGTCTTTCCGCTAGAGTAGATATGACGAATTGTTTGCATGGGTTTGGGGAAATGTGACCATATGTGTCAAACCACTGTGTCTTTTCGTGCCAGTGGCGTTCAGCAAACAGCAGCAGAGCAGAGCGGAAACTGAAACAATCATGGTTGGGTGAAAAAAGCAAATATAAAAGTTTCCCAAAAGCAGAAGTCAGCCCGCTTTATACCGCAGCTCTAAATCTGGCTGCGGCACCTGCGCTGCACGCTCGTGGTGGACCAGTGGTGCAGAACGATGAGTGACATAAATTAATCTCCAAAAATTTGAGCAGAAAGACAGTAAGAGTCTTAGAACCTCCCATACACTGGTAAATAGGACGCTTTCGTTATAATCTCATCCATGATTAGAATATGGGATTTCACTTCAGGAAGTGCAGTAGTGCAGAGCAACACTTTGGAAGTGCAAATTGGTGAGAAAACACACCTTGTACATTGACAGCCTGAGGATACACAATACTTAAACCTCTGGTAAGAGTTACAGGGTGTCATGATGAAAATTTGGAGAGGAAAATAACACCTTTTACCCAACCTCGGAGAAAGAAAATTACACACTTTGAACATCCCAGCAAGCACTTGACTACAGAACCCGCCCACGCATTCTTCTCAGAAATCAGCACAGTAACGACAAGAATGCAACGCTTGCACAGGGTTTGGTAGGATAACAGTGGGGAGTCCACACTCCAAGCGCACAGTCTGAGCCAAGCATTGTTGGACTCATCTGAGGTGGGAACGGGTGCATTCTGAACCCTCTGTTCTCCGTCCAGATGTTTCTTGTTGTCTGTCTAAGTGGTGAGGAAGGGGAGGGAGAGAATTACACAACTTCTCAACTCCCACTCTCTCTAACCCACCAAGTGCTGATGCTAAGCAGGAAGTGGGGGACAGCCAAACGTCCCCAGAAACGGAAAAGGGGAAAAAACTTGGATAAACTGACGAAGAAAGAGAAATCCAATGCCACGTCTATTTCACAGGCGTGATCCCTTTTGTTTAAATGGACAAAAAAAAAACATAATCCCAAATCTGAAAGGAAGTCAGCACACTGCACACCGATCGCCTCGTATGTGTCAATCTGGCCTGATACGATTATACTGCGAGGTGTCCAACCTGACACTGCAGATGGTTTGCAACTCAGCCATCTGGGAGGGAAGCTGTGCAGACATTTTTCCAAAAATATCTCTTTTAGGTGACCGGATTAATTATCCATCTATCAAAAAATAACCCAAACCACTCGGATCAGCAAAGAATGACCCTAAAAGCCACTGTGTGTGTGAGAAAACCCTCTAAAAACCTACCTGCAGCCATCAGCCATAAGGAAAGCCTTAGAATCAAAACCTTTAGAATCCATAATTGACTTTTTTTTTCTAGAGTCTATAACAAATAATAAGCTGTTTTGTTCAGAGGAACAGGGTGAGTGCCGACCAGCCACGGCGTCTGTAAATCCTGCCTGTTGTCACACTCTTGTACTTAGGGCTAATGTTTGTCTGCTGATGGAGAATAAGTTGATGAGCTATGTGCGTCAGCGCGGGCGACATGCTCGATTTCACAAGAGAGCATCCTCTCAATCAGGTCCTCTCTGCCTCCACCTTCTGCTTTACGTCCTTCTTTGATTTCCACACATGCGTCCACCGTTTATTCCAAATTGTTTAGCTTCCCTCTTTTCACACTCTGTTGCTTTCATTATGCTAACGGCAAGCTGGTGGCAACTTGAGTATTTTCCGTCAACTTTTTTTTTTTTTAAGATGGGATTGAAGATGTTCAACGGCTCCTCCTCCAGCTGCCACTGATGAGAGATTGTCTTTTTTTTTCTTGCTTTGTTATTTTTTTCCCCAGCCATGCCATCAATCAAAGACAGACAGGACAAGATGCCGGGGTTACCAAAAAGCATGGAGACCGTCAATTTTAACCCAGAAGAGAAAGAGAAAGGAAAAAAGAAGACAAAAAAGGCTTGTCTGCTCATGAGCTGAATCATATGTCTGGCCTGACGAGAGTGATGACAAATGCTGAAAGAAGCGAAGACGTCAGACTGCATGACATGGACAGTTAGTTAAAAAAAAACGGTAAAAAAACAATCCAGTAGCTCTTCAGCTCACACGGAAACCAGCAGAGGGACAAACCTAAACGTTCCTATCGAGGTGCAAAACCTTGTCGTTTTTGTAAATGCATACATGTGCTATGCCACACTGCAAATGCATAAACCCAGGAAAACTCAAAGCAATGCATGCTTAGGAAAACAAAGTCCAACTGATTTCCATTTGAGTTTGGCTGTTTTTAACTTTTCCTCCCGAAAGCCTCTGCGTCTCGTCTTTTTCTGTCCAACAGGAAGCTACAGCTTTCAGAGCAGAATTCTGCACCCTTTGTTAAGAATGACAATTAGTATGCAACATGGCAGTTCATTAATTCTTCATTTTAAACAAAGATATCAAGCTAATGTTTTTTACAGAGAGTGAGTATTGCCTTAAAACCAACTATTATAAAAATGAACTTCTTTTAACATTCATCAAAGTGATCTTATTTTCTTTGTATCATTGTGCACTGATTAAAAAACACTCTCTTTCAGGTTGGGTTTAGTCCCAGCTGATTTACCTGTCCTTGAACAGGATTCTATACTGGAGGTCGTTACCGTGGTGTCTATTTTTTCCCCCTTTTTCTTGACGGTTTTGGAATTTGTTCCTTTCAGCTTTTATTCACTCATCTGACTAATTTCATACATGGGAAACGGGATTAAATTGAACAACAACACAGAGGTTACTGGTCTGAGCTCATCCCGAACTGTTTATCAGAGCAGCAAAAGAGTGGTCCTGATAAGCGGCATGACACAGGTCTGCTCCGACTCATTCATTTTTTTAATAAAACAGAACATACCAATTATAATTTTGAAAAAGTAATACTACAGTAATACTGTGGCTTGTTCATTTGCTCTTTGGACAAGTGCCTGCCAACCCTTACTGCTTGATTTATTCATTTTTTAAATGCACATTTAAAGGATCCTTCAGAGCACATTGTGACCGTTTGGGGAAGCTTCATACAAAAGTCACAAAGCTGCAAACACTGAGCTAAAGGTGGGGCAAGGGGAAATAATCTCTTCCACCCTCTATAACCAGCAGCACACTGTTCCACTTTGTTTGCATGATTAACAAGAGACTGAACTGAGGAAAAGATCGATACACTCCATCCCTTTACGGGACCGAGACCAGCATTGTAACCCTGCCTTTGTGCCCTTCCGGTCCCAGAGCTAATTATGTGATATGATCAATACATGTCCGTAATGGGATATTGGTGCTACTTGTGGCGATTCTGTAAAAAAGAAAAGAAAAAAAAGAGAAAAAAGAGGAAGAGAGATAAAAAATAAAAACATGCCCGTTCTAACAAATAAACACGCCTATTCTTAGCTGCCACTGGGACTCTGGAGGGTACACAATATCTGCTTCCTCTGGAAAAGAGATAGAAGAAATATGACGTTGTTTATCTTCCTCCCACCGAAAGAGGCTTCTAATGTATTAAATTGTGTGCTTGTGCGTGCTGTGTGTGTGTGTGTGTGTTCACAGCTGGGGTTTGAAATGTCCATGACTGTGCGTGCGTGTGCGTGTGATTTTGATGCTGCGCCTCTCCCAGACCCAGATCCTAATCTGTTCTCAACCAACAGGAAACAGCTACAAGCAGTCTACCGCCACGACAACACAAATCAGGCTCGCAGTGGCAGCACCCCTCTGACAGGAGCTCGGTGTGTAACGGGAAAGTGTTATTACTGACAGTGGTCAAGCAGAGGCCTGAAACGGAAAAAGAAGAAGAGGAGGACATGCTCTTAGGTGTCTCGATAGAGAGGAGCTGCAGGAGAGATATTCAGCCATCTGGCTTACACAGCAGAGGCAGGACTGCGGCCTCCTCTGACATATCTCTGTGGAGTGATGGCGCCCAGCAGAGCGTGGCTGGCACCGGAAAGAAGAAGGCGCCATTCCACTGCATGCCCATGTTAATCACCCCCAACAACCCCTCTGCAGATGGAGCCCCTTTAGAAATAAGACTTTGCCCAAAAGGCTCCATGATCTCTTGGTTAGGAAAGGAAAAGCTGGTAGTGTAGTTGCCATGTTGGATTACTTTTCCCAAACTGTAATGTGCCCCCGGAGGTTCGTGAGGTAAGGCAACAGCAAACAGAATGAACAGACGCGAGGAGTCCGAGTCACGCTACCGAACCCCAACTCTTGACAGTGCTTTTCTCCACAGTAATCTGCCTCTGCATGACATCACTTAAACTCCCTCTCTCAGGCGAAAGATTAGGTCAACTCGGAGTTCCCCGCATTCACGCAGCACTCACGTTTCAGACTAAAAGCAATCCCTGAGGAATGCAGACAGAAGAAAAGGGCCGGTGAATGTTCCACAGGCTTTAGGTGGAGCTGATCAAATAAAATCTGTGGCTCTGCTTTTGGGGACAGACTGGCTGAGTCACGCTCAAGCGACTGCAGAATTTTAAACGAGGGAGATGATGACGAAGGATGCAGCGGGGTGCCGAGTAACAATCGATGTCCTTTAGAGCAGAAATCTTACTTAAAGAAAAAGCTTTCTGTTCTTTGCTCTGCAAGCATGGCAGAGACAAATGCGACATGTGTTTGTAGACTGCAAAACAAAACCTTGTTTGAATTCCAAATTCACTTCTTACGCTCGTCCCGCTCTCCCTTTAGAGGGACAGTTCATTAGTGCCTAGTGAATATCAACCACAACCGCTGGAATCATCGTGGCGTGGCGTTAAGCGTACGACCCACTTGACCGCTTGCCCACTCCGGTCTCCACTGATGCTGCTTTGCTTTCATTCTGCTGAGCACACTGCGGGCTGAGCGCTTTTACAACCTCGCATTCATTCATTTTACAAGAGCCGACGGCCCTCTGTTAGACGTCATCCCGCTAATGAATGGCAATCAAAGGCGAGGCCTCACGTTCTGCGGCGCTCAGACACAAACATCTTCATCTGGAAGGAATATCTCGCTCCTACGACTCAATGCTCTTTTAGCTTCTTGCTCGATTTCATATAAGCAATAACACAGCGTGTGGCGTGTGGCGAATTAGTAAAAAACATTGCAGAAAAGGTTAACTGCAAGAGTGGGACCAATGCAATAACCTCAAGGTTGTTCAAAAGAGGTATTAAACCAGCTCGTGTTAAAAAAAAAAATTGCTCGGATAACAATAGATATTGAAATAAGAAGCAGCACACTTGAGGCCTGCATTCTATTGCAGATATCCCAAAGATAGAGCATCCAATGAGGAAGCTATATACACTGAACTTTAGTCTTAGCTCCTGCACCTCTCCGTTGGCTTATAAGATAAGTGTGGTAAAAACACACCCTACATCAATCTTCTAGGCAATGCTTTTAATCTATCAATTTATCCAAATATCCATTTTGTATTACTGACGGATTACCGTCGATGGGCTTAATCTCATCAAGCGTATAGAAAATTTCTCCTGACATAAAACAAGACGCAGCTGAATCCGACTACCTTAAACAACCTCTGTTGATTTTCCACTCTTGTTTTCCGAGTGGAAACAGAGACTACTGCAGCCTGATAAAGTTGAAACTACCTCCTGCTGCAAGGCATCTGCCCAACTAAAACGACCTTGAACAGAACACTGACTCCCCACCAGCCCAGAGAAATAATTATCTTACCTCGCAGTGACCTAAGCTACTCATGAATACCGCTATATTCCTTTGCCTACTTCTAGACCCCCAAGAATTTTAAAAAATATATTACACATGTAAGCCTAGTTGTTTGGGTTTTTTTTAAATGAGCCCGGCTTGAGCATCATCCCTGCACGTTAAAGCTGAACCTGTATCAGAGTTGTGGCAAGAAAAGCAGTGTGGACACCCAAAGGACTAGCCAGTTACCCTAAGCATAGCAGGTCCTCGCTGAAACATGGTGGCGGGGGTATTATGCCCAGACATGTGTGGCTGCCACAGCCACTGGCTGCACAGCCACTTCGATTCACTGCTGACGGCACCGCTGATGCCAGCTGCACAATGAACCCGAGTTCCAGTGAACGCCTCACTCGACGGCGTCTGTGAAACATTATGGTGCTCTATGTGCAAAAATTTTGCCATTTCAACATGGTTGAAATTGAAGGCGTGAATATTACCTCAAAGTCGCTATTTCACATGTGGATGGTTTGATTTAGAACTTGACACCGAGAAGCAGAGAATATTTATTTAGAGTTATATTTCTGAGGGTTTAGAGGACTGCTCAGCCAGAAACATTTAGTCATATCCAGCATTCCAATTAATTTTGTGACTGGCAGCACATACAAGGAACAGAAAATGAGATGATGATTTCAATTTCGCTTCATAAAAAAAGAAGAGTTAATAGATTTTCTCAATATGTTCATTTTTAATCTTGTTGAGGTGCTACCATCCCCTGAGCATGACGTCCCCTTAAGTAGGTGGACAAATAGGTTAGGACAAGGTTAATGAGGGGGTTCGGGAGTTGTCACAGTTTCTGTTAGAAGGAAAGTTCTTTTTTTTAATCTTGTAATTGTTAGATTGCACATCTTTCAGCAAAAACATCTCTTAGGTGAACCTGGATGGCATATAAAAAGCTACGAACCCCCAGTATTATAAACCCCCGGTCTGCATTAACAAAAAAACTCAAGTCTATAAAGTCAGATTAGTCTTAGTCTTGTCACCCTACTAGATGTGAACTGTTTACAGGGCACCGTCAAACAGATTTTGCTTCCAATTCAGGGGTTGAGAGAAAAGGCTACTTTACTAACATCAATAAAAGAAACATTGCTCGTGTGGTCGATCTATGAAACGTCCACACTCAACCCACAAAAATAGTCAAAGTTAAGAGTTTAAAGGATTTTTGTGACCTTAAGCGTAGGATTACCTCATAAAAGGTTAGGCAACCCTCGCCTCTAACCATCCCCTTCTTGTCAATCCCATTAGCGTTCTGCTGCACCATCCCAGCTGTTCAAACTGGGACGTATCTCTAATGAGTTCCATTAACAGTATTACCTGCATCCGGCGAGCACTGGGGTCATGGGTCAGCAGCAGACCTAACACCGAGATTAAATTACCCCTGTGGGAGGAAGGGAGGGGCCTGTCTACACTTCAGTCATCACCCTCCTCCACACTGCGGCCACATAGAGAGATCTCTGATCTAAGGTGGGCTGCGATTTAACATTTCATTTCATGGTTCGTATGCTCTCCTCTGATTTTATTTTCAACCCTACAGAGCTTAGATGGAGCTTTAAGGGGTTACAATCACAACATATAGAGAAAACAGTACAATGTGATCACAAGATAAATCAGGACAGGAGGAAATGGTTTGATTGGGGCTTCCAATGACGTTCTGCAGGATTAACCAGTCGTCTTACAGAGTGACAGCCAGTCAGAGCCATCAGCGATGCATCTTCAGCTGATCACAGCAAGCAAATTCAGTGGTGAATTTATTCCACTGTCTCATTACAGCGGAATGACGTGAAATGTGAAGTAGGAAAATAAGCATCTAAACATGCTATGCTACAGCCTTGTAGCCACTTTAAGATCCTTGTTTTTGTCTGATAGATCTTACAAATTATCGCTGCCAAATGAAACTTGGTTTAAGGAAAGCAGCATTTTACGGTGTGCTTTGTAAAAAAAAGTGCACTGTAGTGTTTACCATCCTAAGATTCATGTCCTTAAAAACGTAATCTTCTTTCTTTAAAAAATTGGTAAAAATGTCTAATTCATAAAAATCTGGGATGTTGGGATGTTTTTTTCTTTAGCTCTGTAAAATATTGTTTAAATGGAAATAACCCAACTACCCATTCAAGAACAATGTGCTCGTACTCCTGTTTTAGATTATTAGCAAAACAATTTAAATCCTATTGCAAATCAGCTCTTGTTACTTGCTGGCAGCGTCAATAATTCTGGTGGGAGCCGGACAAAGAGAAGGAGCCTCAATTACTGGGAGTGGAAGCAGCAGGCTCTGTGTGGGATCTGGAGCCCCATGGAGTACTAAGAAGCTTCAGGAGAGCTCGATAGGCCCAGCCAGCAGTGATTCAGTCAGAGCGCAGGTAGTGTAACATCTCTCACACACACTGCCAACCATAACAAGCAAGCGCACACACATACACACGCAGCACACAGATAACCGCCTGAGTCATCCCAAAGGTATTCACAATAACCTCACTAACAGGGGGGTAAAAAATGAGAGAGGAAACTGTGAAAAAAAACACTGCAGAACACATGAAAGGCTTCAGAGAGCACCGCTCACTCTTGTCTCGCAGACGCAGCCAGAGGCTGTGCATTCTGAGCTGATACTTTGAGCTCTAAAGCATCTGCAAACACCAGCGCTCATTAGACAGCCTTTCTCATGCTCGGGGTAAAATAAACACATGGTTAAAAACTAAATGAGGGATTTATGCGACTACATTAATGAAGGTCAGATTCACATCATACAACCTAAGTACCGTCCACACTTAAAACTAAACAGCTACAGTACACCTCCGCTTCCTTCTCCTCCATCAAACATTCTCAGAGTAGTTAGGATAACTGGGTCATTGTTAACACTTGATGCTTTGCTCCAACCTGATCGGCACGAAATAAACACATTCCATTGTTACTTTTGCAACTTGCACCTCCGCCATGTCTGTTTACACCCAGAAAACCACCAACCAAAGAATAACAACACTTAGTTAAAAAAGGAGAAATTTTTTTAAAACACTGCATCGTCACCAAGCAGCAGTTTTTCCTCACATTAAGAAACACCCAGACAGTTGTTTCTCTGTTTTATCATTCAAGGTTAGGAATGTTGAAAAAAAAGAAAGAAACAGACACAAACATATAGCTTTTTCACCACCTGAAACACTGTTATTTATTCAGCCACACTCTGATAAGTGTTGTTGTTGTTAAAGGCACTGTTGAAGAAACATTTCAACCAACTCCAGTCACCTCTCAACTTCAGAGCTGAGGCCAGCGTTAGCATCTCAAGCTAAAGTGCGTGCTAAAACAGTGCCAACTTACTTAACTGACGTGTCTTCCAGTAGTGTGAGAAATGCAAAGTAATCATCATCAGAAAACGTCTGCAGGTGAGGAACCAGTGAATGTTTTGCACTTTTGCTTGTTAAATTACAAAAAAAAACTTTCCAACAATAAACTGCAATTTCCAGCTTCCTGTGAGCGATGCATGACACATCCAAACCAAAAAAAATAATAACTTCACCTTTTTATAGTTTGCTTTGTTAAACAGCAGTCACAGAACAGAATTGGTGATTTGGAGAGAATAAATGGAAGCACATCTCTTTTGTATGAATGCCGCTGTATTGTTAAAGCCACAATTATGACGTGGGCCTAACAGAATTGTAACCAATTAAAACACCTACTCTATGCAACTATCAATCACTGCGTGAATGGATACGTTGAGAGGGGGAGAAACAGTTTAGAACAAATTATATAATCGGGCTGCTTCCCCTCTCCTTCATTTGGCTAAGCCATTGACGCTGGGCTCGGAGTGTTGAAGCGCTCACACGATCTGACCTTTTCCTTATCATAAATCACATGCTACTGTTCTGCTGCCAGGATTTTGTTTAACCCAATTTGTCACTGAGGAGACCCCCGTTTCCACCCTCGCTGCAGATTCACTCAGAAGGACTGGGAGCACAATTAGTGGGCGGATCAAAGCATGCCATCCAGACCTCTCTCTCGCCCTGTAATCATGGGTGTCACTAGCCTCTGGAGCTGATAAGCCAAGCCTACTATTTGTTGCAAAGCAAAAGGAGGAAATAACTGGGCATCACTGCTGCACCATACATTTCCTTTGATCAATCTCTGTGTCATTTCTGTCCATCTTTTTAAGTGTGGAAAAGACTTGAAGAAACCTGCTTGCAACACTGAGTGAAAATAACTAACTTTTAAAAAATTGATAATGGACAAAAAGCAGAAATTGTTTTGTTTTTTTTTTAGAAGTAGTAGCTGAATGTTTGGTACTCTTCAGTTCTGATATAGTACAGAGTTGTTGGAGGGAAAAAGGCAACCATTGCTGAGTGAAAGGCAGATGGACAGATGCAACACACACATTCACACATTATTTTGACAGAAACGGGTCACTGAAGGTGTGCCAAGAATATCAGACAAATGTGCTGTCAGAGGGCAGTCGCTCTCGCCCGATACCCGCTTCGGCCTCCTCAGGCCTGACATGAAGGATAAGCGTTGTGCTGGAAGCTTTGATCCATACACCGGCACATTTTTCAGACTTGTCGCCGTGCAGTGATGGAGAGGCAGCGGTGTTTCCCATCACACTTCAGGGTTGAAGGAAACATTTAGCACTGTGTGCTTCTAATCCAGCTTCCTGATCCCATCCAATTCCTGAAGAACCTTGACACGTCTTCATATTGGCATCAGAAACATGAATGAACAGAAGTGATGAGGGAACTATGTGGAAAAAGAACTGTGAGGCATCTATAATCCAAACCTGTAATCGTATCCCTATGTACACTTATCTTTTGTCTCATTTTACAGCAGGATGGTTATTACACCAAGTCCACAAGGAAGTTGATTGTAAACTGTAGCATATTTCCCTTCCCCTGAGGGGGTTAATGTTAAACTTATACTGCACTTAACTTTCAGAGCCTTATGATCCCAGTTTTATTACACATTGGACTACAGCGTGAAACCGGTGTTATTTACAAACTAAATTGAGCTAAACTTAATTTTCTACAAACTTTAACAGTGCTAAACAACCAAAACTTGTACAAATAGATTCCAGTTGATAAAATGGTGCAGAAATGACTGAGATCTGTGGGAGCGCATTATTTATAAAATATATAGATCCAAAAAATGGCTGGGATCTTTAAATCAGAACTGTGTTCAAAACAACAAAAAGTGATTTCCTAATCCAAAAATGTGTTCATCCTCTCTGTGTCTGATTTCAAAATGTGTTAACTCTTCCCGCATCTGTTTAAAAAGGAGAGAAACCATTATGCTTTTAACCTTCACCCAGCTAAAAAAATGCCTGTTATTGAATAAGATAGAATTAGTACACACAGCAGGACCAGCTTGCACATTTCTTAATAAAACACCAAAGCTAAATCATAACCAGAGGGTTTGGAGCACCATATGCAGTCATTCACATGAATTTTTGCTAATTTCAGCAAAACAATACAAAGCATGGCCACTCTTCCATACCGACTTGTGTGTCTTTTTAATCTTTTTTGGGTAGTTTTTTACTAACTCTAAGACTGTAAGGTTGTGGGAACTGTAGAAGCTGCAGGAGTGAAAAAAGCAGATGCAAATTATCCAACTGAGAATGTGTGATCGTTTCACATCATCTTCCTTATACAGACAGCCATCTTTGCTCACTTTCTCTTCAGAGTTAGACTGACGACACAAAACTCAATTAACACCCAGGCAGGCACATGTGAAGATGCTGTGGCTGCAGCTGCTGATCTCCTTTCTAACACTCCTTCCTTATGGATGGATTACATTAAAACACCAGTAACAACGGAGCATCTTTACACGTACGTGAACACATTTGCTTTGTGATCATGCTGCTTTGGGTGGCCCAAAACAGATCCAACAGCCAACATCTCAGGTGCTCCTGCAAGCGAGCTATGCACTTATCTTTCAAAGCCCATTTTACTTCATCTCCTCTGAGCATCTGTTAAGATTGCTGTTTATCACAGACATACCTTATACGCACTGAGCCAAGAAAGCTTGCATTGAGTGACAAGAAGATTCTTGTTCAAAATCTAGAAAATCAAAGCAGGGGGGTGTGTGCAATACGCACTCCAAACAAACAGCAAATTAGGGAGCATTTGGACAGTGAATAAGGAGACGAGTTATGTTAGAAAGACGTGGCATCACATAAACTGAAAGTGTACAGAAAATCCCTCGCCCGCCCGCCCGCCCGGTGTCTAAGTTTGCTCACCTGTGACATCTGGGGTCTGAAATTGATCTCCTTCAGGTCCACTGACCCGGGGGAGAGGTTGTGCAACATCTGGCAGAGAAGCACCCCGTCTCGCAGAGCCTGTGCCAGGTCGAAGACGGCGGCCGAGGGCCACACGACCCGGTGGTTCGGAGGCAGGACCTTGCAGTCTATCAACCACCGCCCGCATTGCCTCCACTCCTCCATCTCTGCTCCGGGGACTGTCCTCGCAAAACAAACCCGAGGTCCTGGAACTGGTTGGGGGTTTCACAGCCGGTGGGAAGCCGCGTTTCACCGCGCACGATCGGGCACAACGGTCGATTTCCTGTCGGCTCCGGGGGTCTTGACCATTCACGTTCCGCGTTCCGAAATCAGCTATTTCACAACTTGGCGTAAATTGCAGCTGCCCGGCGCGCTATATCCCGACGCCTGTCAGCTCTCATGTGCTCGACATGAAGGCTCGAGACAGACCCAAACACTGGCTTACTTCGGGGGGGGGGGGGGGGCCTTCGACGCTACGGGAATTTTCCCCTCTTCATTCTCAAAAAAAGTTTCTCTCCAGCATAGCCAACCCGAAAGGCGTGAGCAGAGACGAACAATACCTGGAAACTGAACAGCTGGATGCTGCGGCTTGTCATACACCGACTTGAGCCGTGCCTCACTATCCAGTGTGCAAACAGCGGTCTCGTGCGCGATTAAAGTGGCTCGTTCGACACTGAACAAAGCCCGGAGTCACTTACTGTATTTGCGTGTCACGTTTAGCCAACCATGTATAAAAAACGATGAACTTCCAGTCATTTCCGAGTGCAAAAAAAAAGAAAAGAAAGAAAGAAAATAACACAGAGGAGGCTTTCAACAACGCTCGGCTCCCCCCCCCCCCTTTTCAAAACACGGTCTAAACGTCGCTCTCCAGCAGCGGAAACATGTCCAGGACGAGCAAACAAGAGCCCGTTAGCATATGTCCAGTTAGATATAAAGTTAACGTTCAGCACCTTCACGCACGCCCCCTAAACTCGCGTTCCCGTACAGAAACTGAGCACTTCTGAGATTTTACGGCTGTCTTCCATTCGCGTCCTGGCTCCCACGTCCCTCGTTCCCTGCCTTTTCCCTTCGCGGCGAGATGTTTCGCGGTCCCAGCTCCCGGACCGCTCACGTTTTGACTCGACCACGCTTCGGGTTCGGTTTGTAGGTGAAACTGCCTTTCTCGCTCCAGTTATCTCCAGCAAACCTTTTGCCCTCTACAGTGTTTCCTTACTTTGTTAAAGTGCCTCCATACTCCAGAAATGGGAGTTTCGGGGAGTATTTTTTAAACTGAGAGTTGTGAACGCGCCCTCCGACGGTTGAAAACGGTCACCGCACGCGCCCGCTAAGGGGGTCTGCTCTGCTTTAGGTGCTCGCGGCGATGTTAGCGGGGTTTGACCCCTGATGACCGAGCAGCAGATCTTAACAGAGCGTTCAAAACTGAGGTTACCATACGGGCGGCGGGCGAGGGCATCTCTTGTAAACATCAGGTTTTATTTGTTTGTTTTTTCTTTTATTGCTTATGGCAGTAAAACCCGGCATGGCAGAAAATGTGTCCACACTACATTTCAGAAAGCACAGCAAGGCAAGGCAATTGCATAGTGGAGAAAGAGAAAACCCCATCATTTCAGACAACAAAAACACCTTTATAAATTCCAAATACAACACTGAAAAAATTATTGATAGACTTATGGAAGAAAAGAAAAGTAAATAATTGTTTGGTTTGTTTCTTAAGACACTATTGTGTGATATTACCTTTGATTACTCTCTTTTTCTGGATTTTCTTAGATGTGTCACCCCCTCTAGTTCTTCTGGGAGGACACATCCCAAGTCTCTCCTGATGTCTCCTACCTGTGGGACATGCACAAAACACCTTCCCTGGGAGACATTTAAAAAACACATCAACCTACTCCCTGGCTTTGTTTTAACTGGCTGCCTTTGATGCAAAGGATCAGCTATTGTAATCCAACCCTCTACCCGAGGAGCAAGCTTCACCCGTGTCAAAATAAGCGTATGGTTTTCTATCTGTATCTACCCGTATTTGCTTGTATTGTATCAGCCACTCCTGATAGCTCATAACCATAGGTGAGAGTGGCAACTTCTTGAATGGACCACTACTTTCCCTGTCCCACAAGACCCCAGAGATGCTTAGACCACTCCACAAGAGTGGCTGACTCACCTGAACAAGAGTAGGCAAGCAAAGGATATTTAAGATGTGGTAAACTCTGCGATGGCAAAATTCACGTTGATGGTATTGGCTGATAACTTTGGTCTTGTGGACAGAAATGCCTGGGAGGGTTCTGAGGATGACCTTTTCAATGATCCCTTTTAGCTATTCAAGACCCTTTTTGACACACTTTAGCTCGCTATCTTAAAGGTTTTGGGTTGGACTAAAGTTCACATTCACAGAGTATCCCCATATTAATCTTTGATGAAACACATTTCTACTGGCAAGCAATTAAAAAACAAACATACTTATTTCTCTATTCATGATGTAATACACATTTCACAAGCTAATCGAAGCCTGGGAAGTCTGAGATGTACCTCCTGGAAAAAATGTTAATGCCTTTCTTTGATATTTGCTGAATCATTTCTCCTTTTCCACTAAATTAACAAAGCCGAATGCCTCGTTTAGTCATTTCCAACTATTAATCTAATGGTTTACTGAACATTTCTAAGTGGAACATATTGGACTACTAAACCTTGACCGAAACGCTATCAACGCTATGAAAAAATGTCTTTCATTCAATCTGTAAATCAACACCCAATTCTGCTTGAATGTTCCCTCTTTTCCACACAGGTGGTCATGTGGTCTGCCGCCGTGTCTGCTGCCAAAGTAGCGAGCGGTATCGTGTTGTTCCTTATTTTTGAGTGAATCATTTACAGTGCACAGTTTGCATTTATCATATCAGGTAAGTAGCGTCGAGGCCAAGAGGAACAAAAAATACAATAATAAAAACACAGTGTAGAGTTGTATGAAAGGATAGTGTTATCAATGAATCATTTGTTACTGCATGGATTTTTTTGTTTTAAAATTGAGCAATTACCTGTTGAAAAGATGAATTAATATTTCCATGGGTTACATTTTGAAAGTCCCATGAACAATAAAGTCAAGCCCCTACATTCAGAATGGTTGTTAACAGTGTTCTTATGGCTCATTCAATCACAATGCTATTATCAATGTGACGATGATGGCACAGTATGATTCCAAACAGAGCTCGGAAAGAAGATTCCAAAGACCACCACTCGTGTGAATGTACATTAGAAGTTATATTATATGTATATTTTGTGTTGAATACCATAAATGCCAGTGGCTTTCTCGTAGCCTCAACAGAACCTCAGCTTTCACGGGAGCCACCGAAAGCTTGATCAGATGATGCATTACACACACATGTACAACAAGAAATGTTAGGTGAAAGTAGTGAGTGAGTGAAAGCAAGTGCTGGTATTTACAGAGTGTTTTTCAGCTAATGCAGGCTTGAAGAGTCAATTTGGCTTCGAGCAAACGGTTCAATACATATTCACGTCTCAAATGCCTTACTGGAAACAAGAACAAAATCAATGCAAGCCTCTTTGTTTCGAAATATTTTTTGATCCAAACACAGGAAAAATATGCAGTGCCGGTCAGATACTTTTTCATTTGGGTTCATCTTTGTTTCTTTCTGTTGGTGGACGCTAAACCTTTTCTGTTCTACGGAGTTGTTGTTTTGCTATTTTGTTTGTTTGAGTGTGAAATAAGTGAAAAAATCCCAGTTGGTCAATTAATCCCTTAATTGACGGCATCACCCATATGCCACCTGTTTCTGGTTGAACCCCCTTTTTGTCGTGTCTCATTACCCTCTGCTCACTCAGCGCCGCACTTCCCTTGCTCCGGATTCCCATAGGGGCCGAAACGCGTTTAGCCTATTTATCCCCAGGCATAACAGAGATCGGCTAAGGAAAAACCTTGTTTTCGGTGTTCCGTTTGTATTTGGAAAGAGGATTTGAAAGATTACACCGCTCTGTGAGAGCGAGTTGAAGCTTGCAGTCAGCGTGGAAACATGAGTGCGCTCGCTGAGGCCTCAGGAGGCCTCCAGACGACCACACTAAACCCTCTGCTCCAAGCTAGGCTTTTCTGTTTCGTTGGTTCGCATGTTGCGCTTATATAACTTTGTCGACAGGCCGTAAAAATATATGGTCAATGTCCCGGCAAGCAAGGGGACCAGGCGTACATCTTATTCAGTTTTGGGATGAGCGGCTTTCGTCCCCTGACAGTGGCTGTGCCGTACAGCCTTTGCTATCAGTTGCAGAGTTTGAACTGATGTGAAATAAGAGAGACATGTTTGGATCATGACCCAAATTGGGAGCCCTGAGGCAAAAATCCAGTTGGCTTAGTCAGAAACATTCGCTACTCACTGACTGTGGATCTTGTTTTTAAATTTCAAACCTTGGGAGAGCCATTGCATAGACGACTGTCTACAGACGACATAATTAACATGTCACATGTGGGCAAAGAAGGGTTTTCTTCTGCCGTTTCCTCAATGCACCTGATTATGAAACATCAAGGCCTTTAATCTTGTATGTGGAGGACCACGCTCCTGAAGATGTGGGAGGTACATAAATAGCTGCGCCCTTTGCAGTGAAATCAGTAATGTACAGCTAGTCTGAGTCTGAGCCAACGGAGATCACTTAACCTTTGAGCGACTGTTTCGACAGTCCCATCAGCATAAAATATGGCCGATCGGTCTTTAGGCAGATCTGTGCTTCGGGGAGAGCTGCGTTCAAGGGAGCCGGAGGAATTCTGCGAATAAACAAAAACGTGTCGCTTGAAGGGACAGCGACTTCACGATTAGCGGCAACCCGAGGAATTCTGCTGTTTTCATCACCAGCAGGCGACAATCTTTAGTGCTAATATGGCCATTTACGTGATGCGGTACAGTTTCCGTTAACAGTAACTGACATCTCTTAATGCTGTCAAGACCAATAACTGAGGGGCCGACAGGCCTCAAAACAAAGCAGCTGGGACATCTTATGGATGTGTATTGAGTGCTTCAATGCGCTTTCCTAGAAAACAAAACAAAACACTGAGTTAAAAAAGCACGGATGTATGGGACTAAAAGCAGCTGGGATAAGCCTGACAGCGGTAGGATAAATCAGCCACTTACTACTTTGCACACCTTTGCTGCTCTGGAGTCACAGTCTCTGTGAGGCAGCTCAAAGGAAGGATTCGACTGTGTGCACGTGGGGCAGTGCTGCAAAAAGATCCTGCTCAGCAGAACCTCTCCTTCCATGACGAATACATTTGAAATAGATTCATAAGCGCTATCACGTCGGTCACAAATTGAGCATATTACAACTAAAAGGCTCTCACTTCACCGAGAACAGTATCATCTTATTTTGTAATTAGGAGCCTTGATGTGTGCCGCAGACGCTGGAAATCGATCACCGAGCAGAAGTGCATGCATGTGCAGTTCTGCTCATATGTCTTGTTTCTGAGCAACATTGACGCGAGACTGCAAAGAGCTTATGTTTGTTTCCCGATGCTGTGTTCTGCAACGGCCATAAATCACAGCAAACGGCCTCCTGTATGATGTGTTGGCGGGCTTTTGGACTTAAGACTCACGCGCTGAGCGCTGGCAAGCGACAAGTTGTCACGGATGTCGCAGCGCTGATCAATCACGCGTGGATCCGCGTGGCATGATGGGAACGCGGGTCACAGACAGGGTGTCATCCCCAGCATGCGAAGTGCATCAGCAGCAGGCTGGGCCGGGCCGGTATGTCGAGTGATGAATGGCCTCTACAACGGGCAGTTTTGGGGCGCTCTCTCACCAAAACACGAAACAGACCTGTCATGGTCAGAGCACAGCATTTCAGAAAGTCACAAAACAGGAGGAGGCTGTAATTTTACAGAACATCAGAAGATGCTTTGGTTGACTTCTGGTAAATGTTTGCAGGGCCTGTGTAAAATGACAGATTTAAAAACGCATGAGATATTTGACATGAATCTTGGGGGCCATCTTCTGGCCTACTCTTGAACTGCACTCAAAGGCAGGGTTTTTTTTTTTCTCTAGTTACCCCACATTTCTCATTTCTCTGCACTCCGACCGCTCAGGCGCGATGCTCCGTGTGCGTGCTGACAGCAGCACAGCGACTCAGTGGAGTGGAAGCTGGTAAAAGCACCTGCTGTTGGAAAGTTGGGTCCGTGCCAGTTTCTGCTGACCAGTTGGCTGGCCTGCAGGAAGTAAGAGTTAATGTTTGTGTGAGGAATGCTTTGTTTCACCACCAAGCTGTTTGCAAAAGAGCAGAACATTAATGGATATCTATGTTAAGGAATTGTACTGCTTTCATTCCTTTTAGCTAAACATTTTCTAATATGTTCATAGATATCCTCTTCACCGTAGACATACTTTTTACTATTCCAGACAGCGTTAAAAAGGCTCCAGCATAAATTTAATGTGAAATGACACCAATTTAGTCAGCTGTCACTCTTTTCCGTTAACAGTTAAATCCCTTTAAAGTGCCAACCTGTGTGACATCCTGCTCTAAGAAACCTCAGAGGTAGATCCTGTGATTATAAAGAAGAACACATGAGTACAAAAAGGTTGGGTTTTATTTTTAAATGTACAGAACATAAAAATTTTACAGATAGAAAAATATGTTTACATGTTTAACATCTTTGAAGATACATACTTTGGTCACAAATGAGGAAATAAATAGAAATCCGCAGTGATCAGGAGTCACCGTCTTCTGAGCTGGAGTAAGTGGAGCTGCTGCTGGCTAATTCTGAAGAGCTGCTGCTGCTGCTGACGTGCTGAGACGCAGTCCGACTGCTCCTCTCTAGACAAAGGCAGGCCCAAGAAGCACACGTAAATAGGACAGAAGCCGATGGCGTGGAAAATCCTTTGGATGCTGTGCGGCTTTAGTGGCGACAGCTTCAAGTGAGGTTGGTGGAGAGGTTTTGGACTTACTTTGAAATTTCTTGAACCTCTTGTACAGACAAGACTTGACATACTGCTCCAGTTCACGCAGAGTGGACGGCTTCAGGATCTCAAAGTCAATCTCGATCTCGTCTGGGTTGCCGCTGCACGTGTTGGGCTCCCGTTTCTGGATGATGTGCACCACGCGGCCCAGCTTTGTGCCGGGGAGCCGGTTAATGTCCAGGCTCAGCTGGTGCTTTTCCTCATATGTCATAGGCAAAGACTCGTCCTCTGAATCCAAGTCATTGCCACCTTTCCACGATGGCCTACAATAAAGGCAGAGAGGCAGAGGTCTCTGTTTCTGTGTTGAGGGCTTTAAGGTCAGTAAAAGACAAAACAAAAAACACAATACCTGCAGCTGGGGTTTGGAACACTTTTGGAACCGGTAGTTTCTCTACTCTGCCTGCCGGGCTCTTTGTTGTCTTTCTCTTTTCCGGTGAATGGTTTATTCACCGGGGCTTCAGAGAGGGCGGCGAGGTGCTCCTGCTCAGTTTTAATCTGTGTGAGAGCCACCAGAGATGGTTTATTGTGGTACAGATACCAAAAAATCAAGTAAAGCATAAAGAGAGCTGATCAAAGTGTGGTGCTGAGAGACACAGGCGGTGGCACGGGGTGGAACGTTAAAAAATATAAAATTCATATATATATAGATGGATATACAAAAGTGATTTATGTAACGTTAGTCATATCCTTTGACCTTGTTTTATCTTTTCTTTTTTTCAGTGGTATCTGGAAACCAAACACTAATACAAAAGTTAGCTTGTGTTCATTTGTGTGCTGCAGATTATATCTAAAGAAGCACGTCAAAGCTTGTATATCTGCAGCTTTTTCAAATGAAATTCTCCCTGTTATAAACATGTTTTTCAGCAAAGAAAAAAATTATTAATGGAAATTCTCTCCTCTTTTGTTCAAGAACCTAAGCATGTCGAGCCCTGCATGACTGAAAACGATATTTTGACTGGATTCCACTTCCACAGATCGTAGGTCAGTTTTTCTGGTGGGCATCTGAGCGGCCAGTTTTTCGGTCACATCATGTTTTTGTCTTGCGGGCGTCTCCGCAGGAACTCACGTTATCTTGTGCCTCAGTGTGTCCGGTGGCACGCCCCTCTGCCAACTCTGACTGGTCCGGACCGGATGAACTGTTGCCATTCAGCCCACAGAGAGCAGCGCTCTTTGCAGGTCGGAAAGCAGCCGGTGCCGTTAGCTCCACGCGCTCGTCGGGCATCTTCGCAAACTTTTGCTCAAACACGCCCTGAAGTCACCGTTCATAGAAAGCAGAACGTAAAACTCAGGCTCTTTGTCAAGCTTCAAATGTAGAAGAAATAAATAATCCATGACAAACCTGAAGTTTTCTGGCCATACCGACAACACTATGATGGGAGGGGTTGTATTTGTAGCAGTTGGAGAAAATCAACCGCACGTCGGCAGCAAACTGCTGAGCGTCCAGGTATTCGCCTCCCTCCATCTTTCTCTGCCAAACAGAAATGTGGGAATGATTTGAGCGGCAGGTGAAAGGATATTTGTGGCAAAGGCTTGCGGAAGACTTACTTTAACAGTGCCGAGGTCCATGGGGTACTTGATGATGTCATGGTAGTCGTGCAGCCCCAGGACTTCGGCGTCGACCGGCGTGTAGAAGGGCCAGGCGTAGGCCGCGTGTTTTTTGGACAGCATTTCCTTTAGGATGTCGCTGCAGTATTTCAGCTGGTCGCCCAGACCCTCCTGTCCATTTTCTGGTTCTGGGGAGGCGCTCTCTGAGGCAGCGCTGACCCGGCCGGGGCCTTTGTGTTTCATCCTGTCTTCTGAAAAAAGCACACAAAACCCACTGAACGCTTCAAACCGAAAGGAAATATTTAGACTTAAGACCCAGTTCCTCCGTTTCCCCTTCGTTTGAAGCTGTATCCGTCCCTTCACACACATAAACGCATTACCTGAAGAGCTGTTTTTTCGCCCTCTTCCTCTAGCTGCAAGGGGAATCAGTTCCACTTCCCTTTGAGGCATTTGAGCGACTTTTTGCAAGAAAATCTTCTCCACAGCAAGAGCCATCAGCACAATGTCATCGGTAGGCTGCAGAGGAATTGAACAGAATCTGTTAGGGTAAAGTGTCGGTGAGGGAACTTAGAGGCACGAAGCCCCTTACCTTGTTGTATATGTAACAGTTGGTGAACATGGTGTTGAAGTCCTGCATGCATTCGCTCGCACTCCAGTAGTAGTTGTTCTCTAGCCGTTTCTTGATGGTACCCATGTCCATTGGGGTTGTAATTATCTTATGATAGTCCTGATCGAGAAAAAGAATCAGGGGGAACTGTCAGAAAATAGGAAGGTTTGTTATGAATGACTATGAACCATTTTAAATCAGAAAAATTCCCAGTTTTAAGTAAAACTTCTGATATCAAGAGTGACTTGGAAAGATACTTAAAATAAACAGAGGCTAGGAGGTTGTTCTCCAGTTAAGGACATAAAATCGGTGTTGTGCGAAATTCCAGCATCTCTACACTCACTGTGTTTATGGTGTGCATAAGAATTAAGAGACAAAGACATATTAAAAGAGGTAAGTAAATCTTACACAGCATTAACACAATGGAAGACAGACAACAGAAGAGTTTGTTTGTTTTGTTTCTTTTTATTTGTACGCACTATTAATCCAATTATAAAGGAAATTACCCAGATGCTTTTCCGGAAGATGACGAAGAAAGTTAGATAAAATGGATGAGTGTGTGTGTGAAAAACATCATCTTACTAAACTATCCACAGTCAGTGGTGAAGTCATATGTATGTACAAAAGAAATCTAAAGTCTGGGGAATCGCATGGTTTCATTTTTGAAAAGCTGGTGTGTTTAAACTTTTGACCATTACAGCAAAGATGGACATGCTCTTCTTTCCAGCAGAACCTGCATATTTTTTTTAATCATTTTATATTTTCAAGGATTGGATTTTCCACTGTCCACACAGGGAGATTAATTTGGAGAGTCCTAACGTTTTCTATATACTTTGTGGGAAGCAGCAGTACAATGACACCCTTTGAAAGGCTCACCTTCATTCCCCCAAATATTCATCTCATCATCGTGGCCACATAGCTGATTCAATCTTCGACATAAAACCTTCTTCTAATTTACAAATATTTGAACCAATGATCTTGGAGAATGCTCTTTTTTATAAACGACTTTCCCAACTTCTTGTATATTCATTGAAATCCTTTGACATTCCATTTACTCTGAGTACTGTTCAGTCCAACAAGTGCTGGCAAATACAAACTATTAGTTAATCATCACCAGTCCTTAGCCTTGACAGGTTAATAGACATTCTAAAAACTACCTTATCAAAAGATGTAGGTGGGTTTATGCATATATTTCAGCCTGTGCAAAGAATCTTTACCTTGTCTGGACTGCAGAAAACCCTACACAAATTCGAACATGTACACTTAGTTCTGATGAGTGTGTGTAAAACATCTGAGGTGTCTGTGTTTAACTAAAAATAATACCATTGCTTTCATCATCCATTAATGATATTGATCACCAACATCACAGGAGGCAGAAGTCCTTTAATTTCACCGGTTTTAATCATGATAAGAAAAACCTTCATCCATTACCCAATGACTGTAGATAAGTGACTTTCTGATCATTCAACAAGTGGAAACTACTTACGGATAGTCCAAGACTGACCGCATCCACGGGCTGGTAAAAAGGCCAAGCGAACTGGTGCCGCCACAGGGACTTAATCACCACTTTCTGCATGTACTGGAGCTGGTTGGTCTTCCTGCCCGGCTTGTTCGGATTGATCACCTCAGGAGGTGGAGGGTTAACAAGCTGCGGAGGATCCGGCTCTCTGACTTCTGCTGACATGATGGTGGCGAGCGGTCTGCTGTCTTATGCAAATGATGTAGTGTTTGTCTGTCAGCACAGCAAAGACTCTGAGGGAACCCCAGTCCTCTTCATACATACTTCTCATTCCACACAATTTAACCTGGAGAAGTAAATGGAGAGGTAAAAAGTTACGAAAGTGCAGTAAATGGTCCTAGCGTGGACAAATAAACTGATGAGACTGCCTACTGTATGCTGGGCTTTAAAACACAAAAGAACAAAAGCTGACTCCTTGTTACCCATCAGTGTAAGAGATGTGGTATTTTGGGGTATTACCAAGCTTATAATAATGATTTTAATCTATGCAGTTATATTTGCCAATATAACATTAGAGCTATTAACCAACTGCTTCTTGATTTTAATTCAATGTGGACAATATGTCCAACACACGGAAAATAAACTGTGAAATCATACATAGTCCAACTTTCAAAATAGCTCATCATTTGAGATACAAAAGTAGTAATACAACCCAATCTATAAAGCTATTAAAATAGATCTGGATAATTTAAGATTAATATTCTGTGCTGGCAGACACCTGGCTAAAACTATTGACCGTTATCATGGCCATAATCATGTTGCAAAGTGATACACAGTTTCAAAGTTTCAATGTCAGCAACCTGTTTGGTAGCAAGCGGGAAATAAAAGAAAAAAAAAAGAAAAACAGGAGAATGTCACAGAGAAGCATGTTTTTCGTCAACTGAGACAAAACCACATTCCTGCTTCGGGCGTGTTTGGAACTAAGACAAACAGAAGGAGGGTATTATCAGTCTCTGAAAAGTTTCAAACACGTTTTTTATACGTTACGTAACAATGACTTGTTGCCTTCACCTGAAAAAGTTTGCAGGAACGTAGAAGAGGCGAAACAAAACTTTGTGCCAATGATTAACCCAACTCCTGCTAATAACTAAGACTGTCTCGCGACATATTGCCAAAAGGATAATATTCAATAACACCAGCACTTGTTATTATATGTTCCTTTACAAAAGCGTAGTAATATACCACAAGGCCAGTAAACGGGGACAGCGATAGAATGAAAATAATTCAGCTTGTTAGCTAACAATGCTAGCTGGTTTAAGTACTTGTCTGTGTTGACACTGACCAATAAAGGAATGTTGTCATTACAAATACACTGAGTGCTTTGTCGAAGAAAGTGTCGTTTTCGACCGGATAACTTTTTATTTTATTTTTTGAGTGTCTTCTTTTCTTTTTAAATGTAAACAACCTTTCGCTCAGTTATGGCGATCTAAACTTCCCTTGGAATTGTCTAGAAGCTAGCTGCATTTTTTTTAGATAACAGCAAAAATACCTGTGCGTTTCTTTCACAAAGACCTGTGTAACGAGAGCAAAAAAAAAATCCAATCACTAAACTTTTTTTAACAACTCGTTTTTAAGCAAGCCTGTTGGAACGAAAGCTCAGACGCTGCCCACTTGAGAAGGGTTCACTCCTCGCACCGATGCTAACAAACGATAAATAGCTAACTTCAGAATGGCTTTAAATACACTAAAAATGTTCCTCACTGACCTGCTATGGGTACGACTCAAGGGAGGGACCTTGTATTCCTTCGTCAGTGACTAATTCTTCTTTCTGTTCTAATGACCACTAGAGAGCAACGTCTTCATGCTTTACCGCCACCTGGTGAGTGGGAATATATCGGGACCGTGGAGCGGAATTTACAATGAAAATACAATACAATAAATACAATAAATTTACCTTAAAAACTATTTCCGCTCATTGACAAAGGGATAGCTAAAATAAAAGTTTTTTTTTTTGCGTATTTCACACCAATGTCCAGCCAGGGCCGAGAAATATAATTACCTATTCGGAATATAGTAATAAACTCCAATACAAATTTCTTCAACTAACACTAAGAAGAGATGGATTTGTATACATATTCAATAGATATGGAAAACATGGCTGATAATAACAATGAAAATAACGATAATGGTAATGAATTTTACAACCACTTAGAAAATTGACCCTCAATGGTTCCCGTTACGTCTGAACGTCACGCGCCTGCGCACAGCCTCAGCACACCACATTCCCCGCTTCTCACCGTAGGCTTTCCCCGTAGGTGAAAATTGCTATAGCAAATCACTGCGTTTAATAGCTCTCCGGGCTCGCTTTTGTTTATATACACGCAGTTCTTCTTCCCAGTTGTTGTGAGGAATAGTAACTGGACCGCGAATCTGCATCAGATCTTGTAAGTATTGTTGTATGTCGGAATTCTCATTGTTTGAATGGAGGGCCCATTTGGTGCAGCTTGTCAACATCATCAAAGCACTAGGCTCCACCAACAAACTATCGTTACCCCGTTCTTCAAGCAAGATATTTTTTTATTAAAAACCATGCTGTGTGTAGTACACAAACCCCCTCCGTTTTTAAATGCTTGTCGACCGGCCGTGTCAAAACAGTCAGAGTGTTTGCCAATGTTATAACGAACGGGCTCCGTGTCGTCTTTTGTTTGATGGTGCTTTTCTGCAATTATTAAATAATAAAATTAATCAAATCAATGCGCAGATATGTAAAAGCAGTGCAGTATAGTCATACCTCACTGCGTGAGCCATACCCATGTAGTCGTTTCGCATAGTTGAAAGGATTAGTCGGTAGACAGCAGATGCTAGCTGAGCTAGCTAAAGTTGAAGCTAAACGACATAGCCAGCCTAGCTTTAACGTCATAGCAACAAAAAACAGCCGCAACGTTTGCTAACGAGGTTAAACACGACGTATACAGAAAACTATTGAGCCTCAAAATAGCTATAAATTCAGACTCGTAAATTATGATGATGTTAAGTTTAAACGAGGTGCTAGATGTAGCTGTTAACACATTCTGGTCCAGTTGCTATCACGTACAGATATCTCGGAATGTTGACATTTCAACTAGTTTTTTTGTCTCGGCAGGAGTGAATCTATCAGAACTGTTTTTTTAAAGAGATGAGGATTTTTCTTTTGTTCTGTCTCAGGATACTGTGTAGTAGATGGTCATTTCCTCACCATGGCAACAGAAGACAAGAAACCAGAGACTGACACCAAGCCTCCGGTTGTACCATCAGCATCTGCCAGCCAAAGCAAGGTCCGGAAAGATGGAACATTATCAGTGTTTTGCAGGACAATGGAGATGACCACTGATTCACTTTCTTGTCATATAATTTGAGGTCTTTCATGAAACTGTCCAAATATGGACAGAATTGTAGTAAAATGGATGTAAATTCATAATAACTACTGTGTTTGGAATTTGAGAAAGCTTTTTGCAACTCAGAAAAGGGCCCTTTTACTGCCCTTTTCACATCAGATCACCTCAGACCCATTGAAAGTAATGGGGTTGGATTGCTCAAATCTTTACAGAATCTAGACTTTACGTAAAGTCACGTTTTATAGTTTGTGAAAACTTGGTCCGTAAGAAATGCAGAACATGTCTAAGCTTTTATTTTGCTTGAGTTCTTTTTATTTATTCCTGGAGTTGAATCATTCATGGGTGATAGGCATGTAAAAAAAAAGCATTAAAACGAGTCTTTTCTGCATTTCCACAAATCAGAGAAAGCTTTCATGAATAAAAAAAAAAGGTATTAGTGAATCTACTGCCTGTTGAGAATAATTATGCCCACATTTGAGCTTCTAGCTAAACTATTTTACTTGCAGCAGCGCGTCACGTTATGTTTTTATTTTATCTTTCCACAGTCGGTAAAACATGGACGTTTTTTTTTTTACAAATTTTATTCCAGCAGTTAACTTTATATTACATGTTTGTGCACATCAGTGTTTTAGAAGTTTTACTAAGGAACTTGTCTTGGAAATGTATGAGCAAATGTTAGTCCATTTTGTGCATGTTAGATAATGTCTTGTCTTTTATTCACAGTCGGCCCCCGCCAAACCAAACTACAGCCTGAAATTCACTCTGGCAGGACACACTAAAGCCGTGTCCTCAGTCAAGTTCAGCCCAAGTGGAGAATGGCTCGCCAGCTCATGTAAGTTTTCATTTGTTGTTTTTTTTTTGTCCTTTTTAAGCCAAGTTGAATTCACCTTTGAATGACAATTTTGGTTTTACTGCTGTCTATTGTTCATATGACATTTTGATGTTGTCAGCTGTTATTTAACCAAGTCTTTAAATATACATGTACATTTGTTTTTTTTGTTTTTTTTTCACATTAACAACCCAAACCTATTAAATTTTACCTATATTGTCCCATGTGAGGACATCAGCTGAAAGACTGGAAATTGACATGCTCTTTTTAAGAGTCCTTAAGATTTTTTCCTCCATTTAAAAAAAAAAAAAAAAAAAAAAAAAAAAGTTGTTTAGAGGAGGCACGATGTGACATTTGTGTTTAGATATAAATATAAAATATGCTGCTGTCCTCTTCCTAATGGTTAAAAAAAAATTGAAGATATAAAAAGATGGCTGGAAAAATTCAACAGCGAAAAACTGTCCAACCTTCTCTGGGCTGCTCTCGACGCACTGACCGGGTCTCTTGTGTCCCAGCTGCCGACAAACTCATCAAAATCTGGGGAGCCTATGACGGCAAGTTCGAGAAAACCATATCCGGACACAAACTTGTGAGTCTTCAGAAAGTTGAACCCACCGCAGGTCTCTGGGGGGGGGAGCAGCGCTTTTTGCTCTTGCTGACTTTTCTTTTCGTCACACCGTTCCCACCAATCCTTAGGGCATATCCGACGTGGCCTGGTCCTCCGACTCCAACCTCCTGGTGTCCGCGTCCGACGACAAAACGCTGAAGATCTGGGACGTCAGCTCTGTAAGACAGCTCACACAACAGAGGGGGGGGGGGGGGCAGCTTCAGTTAGTCCCAAAGTGACATTTATTTGCACCCATTTCTCCTGAATCCAGGGCAAGTGCCTGAAAACCCTGAAGGGTCACAGCAACTACGTCTTCTGCTGCAACTTCAACCCCCAGTCCAACCTCATCGTGTCCGGATCGGTCAGTGGGGAGCGGGGGCTGGACAACTGTGTGGGTTTTGAACAAAGATTTAAAAAAAAAAAAAAAACATTTGTTTCCCCCTTTCTAGTTTGATGAGAGCGTCCGGATATGGGACGTGAAAACAGGGAAATGTTTGAAAACGCTGCCGGCTCACTCTGACCCCGTCTCTGCCGTGAGTATTTATTTAATTTTGTTCATTCTGACCTGCCTCAGAAAACCCGCTTAACGCTCAGCAGCATCTGGGGGCAACAACGGCTGTCTGTGCCCGCAGGTTCATTTCAACAGAGACGGCTCCCTGATCGTGTCCAGCAGCTACGACGGCCTCTGGTGAGTCTCCCCTGCATTAAAGTAATTGCACGCTCCAGTCGGGAGGGCCCGGAGTTGTTTTAATGAGGACTGGCAACACTCCACATCCTGTGTTTGGCCCGACGAGGAATGAATAAATGATGAGAATGCCATTCACTTCCATTCAGCCCGTGTCTGTTTATCCACCGTGCCGCCTAACGAGTCCCAATTAAATACCTGTTTTGTTACTTTCACAGTCGAATCTGGGACACGGCCTCGGGCCAGTGTTTAAAAACTCTCATCGGTAAGACCCCTTTGGCACCTCTTCACCTTTTAATCTGCGCCGGGCAACCAAATCCACTCAGTTCTTTTGGGAGCAGGCGCACGGAAAGAGCAAATAAGGTTAATATTTTGACCACGCTTCTGATTTTGTCCGTGTGTTTTGTCAGACGACGATAACCCTCCTGTGTCGTTTGTGAAGTTCTCCCCTAACGGGAAGTACATCCTGGCGGCCACCCTGGACAAGTGAGTGTACTTTGAAAGTCTGCCAGCAGAGGGCGGCATGGCACCAGCGCGGCTGTGCTCTGCAGCCTCTCGCAGACGGGCTGCATTTGAGTAACAGATGCTGTTTTTGTGGCTTTTCCAGCACACTGAAGCTGTGGGACTACAGCAAAGGAAAGGTGAGTTCCTCCGACCGGGCGAAAACCACCCAAAACAAACCAAAAGGACGTCACTAATTCATGTTTCACGGCCCCCTGCTCTTCGGGGTTCTTATGAGGTCGTTTGACCACCAGGCGGAAACGCAAAGCCAGTCCCTACGCTGGCAGTTTAATCACAAACTTTAACTGTAATTCGCTGTCCAGATTATTTTCGAACATATTTTTAGTTGGTAATCTAAGATATTTGACCCACAGTTGAACAGCTTATGGTGTTATCAGGAGTAGGGGAGCCAACATTGAATATGCAAACCCAACACACATATAATAAGAAGACGAGTCAGAATATTTAAGCAGGAACATTTGAGCTGCTTTCGGTTCATGGCCGGTGATTTCACCTTGTTGTTCCCCCTTTCTCAGCTAACCCAAAACAAAGGAAAGCAAGGTTTTCAGTAGCGGCTTTGAGCCTGAAAGTGTTTCTGACTCTGAGATTTGACCCCCAAATGTCTCCCGACTTTGCAGTGCTTGAAAACGTACACGGGCCATAAAAACGAGAAGTACTGCATATTCGCCAATTTCTCCGTCACCGGAGGGAAGGTAGGTGGGCTCGATCACTCCCCGACCCCACGAACCCTTTCAAATCGTGTAAGTGGGCCTGTGCTTAGCGGCTGCTCTCTTCCAGTGGATCGTGTCGGGCTCGGAGGACAACATGGTTTATATCTGGAACCTGCAGACGAAGGAGATCGTGCAGAAACTCCAGGGCCACACAGGTACCGCAGGCAGGAAAGATTTCAAATGGAGGCCTACCATGGCAGAGGTAACGATTTCCACGTCCAGCTTTGCATCTTCTCTCCTCCTTTGTTTTCAGACGTCGTCATTTCCACCGCCTGCCACCCGACAGAGAACATCATCGCGTCTGCGGCTTTAGAAAACGACAAAACCATCAAGCTATGGAAAAGCGACTGCTAAGCCTTTTTTTCTTTTATTTTGGATTTTGTGGAGCCATTTAACTTTCTTTTATTTTTTTTCTTTTCTACATTTCGGTGTAAAAGAAGAGGACTTTTTTTTTTGTTCTTTTTCTCCTCCGTTGGAGCTCCTTGTGGATACAGAGAGCTTTTAGTCAATGAAATACATTGAGGAGAGCCCGACACGCCAGCTCTGCAGAGAACTTTACCCCACCACCACCATATCCAACAACACGTGCCAGATCCCTCCGACCCATTAAGGAAACAAGTGACTTTTATTTTAAAGTAAAACCTTCTGGTGCTTCAGTATTTCATGACATCTGTACAATAAATGTGATGGTTACTGGGCCTTTGTATTATTCTTTTTTGTCTGTAATTGCATCTAAACTTAAAAAAAAAAAACATTTTTAGGCTTTAGACTGAGTAAAATAAAAGCACTGATAAGTTCTTTAAAAAAAAAAAAGGAAAATTAAAAAAAGAATGATTCCAACTGGAAAATTGGTATAAATGACCCAGAACAGTGACCAGTCACAGTGGTGTTTTAGTATCTGTACATATTATACTGATACCTACTGCTTTTTTTTATTATTTTCTTACTGCCTGATTAGCTCACAGCTGTGCACAGGAGCCCAGCAGCATCTGTTCGGTTTTGTGTTCTATTTGTTTGCATTCAACAGTAATAACCTACAACCTAATAAAGCCCGTTTTTGTATGTTTCATGCAGAGTTGTGTTGTGATTTTGAACTTCTTAAGAATCACTCGGAATGCGCCGCCAGTCACTTGTAAGTCTGTTGTTTTTTTAATAACCTTTTTTTCTGTCCATAAAGGTAGAACATCGGAACAACTCACAAAGAACAGATGACAAAATTCCATCTTGTTAAAAATAGACAAAAAAAATGTATATAATGAACAGAGACATTCCCGTTTTGCTGCGACGGGATGAAAAACAAAATGGCAAAGAAAAGGGGACACAGTTACCAAAGTGCCAAAGCCGACTATTCCACCCACATTACATTTTCAGTCTGAAATTGAGTAAGCTTTTCCACGACGAATATAACAGCCCACAGAAGAGAGGGTACAGAGTACATAAGCAAGGGACAAAATTACCTTTGTACAAAAATAGATCTTTTTCCAAGTGTTTTTTTTTTTTCCTCCTTAGTTTTTTTCTTTTTAAACGAGAACATTATACTGTCTATGCAACAAAGAAAGCGGTGATTGTGTCACAAGCTCAGCGTTTCCTGATTACACTGTTCGAACACAGAATTGCCAAGCAACATGTACATTTTGGAGGGTTTAAGGTCTAAGCCTTTGTTTCTTTTCTGCTGGATTGTTGAGGTCAAACACAAACGGCCGAGAAGCTGGTTCTTCAGAGTTTAGAGCTGCTGCAGTTCTGCTGGTACATCAGGATTCATTTCATAGATTAAAACGTAAAACAGCCCCAAGTACTTCCTAAAATAAAAGGTGGTGCGGAACAGTTTGGTCTGAAAGACTTTTCTCCCTCTTTTTAATTTTGGAAATACTCAAGGAATAGATCTGTTGATATATATTTATAAATATACACACATATACATATTAACAAAATATAGCTTTATGTTATAAAGCATTCATGTAGGTGATCATTCCTTTATCTTGTCGAGAAGTTCCGTGCCTGTCCATTTTCTGCAGGAGGGGGGGATAGGCCACACCTCGTCCACTTTATATGGCTTAAGATAACCTGCAATCTCTAATCACAGTCAACTGAAGGGCAGGCCAAATCAGACTCAAGAAAACGGTAGGGCTATCACTTAACTGTGTATGATTGTTTCAAATAAATCTTTTTTGATTCAAATCAACCTTTAGGAAGAATAAAAAAATAGTCACCTTCAGTTCTGAGAGCAAAAAAAAATCTTTCCAAGGGTAAATTTCCTGCTCAAGACGCATCGACTTTTCTGTTTTAACAGACAATTCTGCATGTTTTTGTTTTGTTTTTAATATAAATACTGTAAACTTAGCTCAAGCTGGCAGTTAACACTATCAACTGGATAGGGTTGTAAGAGCACGGGCAACCTCGCTGAACATGACGGGTAACACTGGGTTATATTGAAATTATTGCTACTTTTGTCCACTCTGACAATCTGAAACCAATGTTTTGAGTGACCCGAAGCAACAGTGATGACAGCGGTCTCAGAGACTGTCGCCTATTTCTCCGACTCAACACTTGTAGAAAAGATTCAAGTAGTGTTGCGGCGCTGCCACTCTGCCACAAGAGGGGGTTGGCGGCTCTTGAATAGCCATCACGCCCCTCTCCCTTTCTTCTCTTAACTTTCGATCACCACCCAAACTAAAACCCATCCTGCGTGAGGTGTGAATCCCATCTGACCTTTCAGAGCTGCCTCCTGAGCACAGAGATCCCTTTAGGCGACACATATTTCCTCCACGCAGATGCCTCCCTGACGTCTCTGCCCGCAAACAGTGAAATAAAGTGGGATATTTTAGCACATTGTGGTGCCATTTGAAAAAAGTCGCTTATTAATCAGACTTTGTTAATCACTTCCTTACTGGAAAATGGAATAATAGCTACAATAAAATATGCTCAAACATGTCTGATTATTGACTTGAGATTAGATTAGAACTGGACAGGAAATGTGGTTTTTCTGAGAGATGTAATTGACTTTAAGTGTATTAAAAAAAAGTTTAAAAAAAGACTCACAACATGAAAACTGTGGCTGGTAAAAGCGGAGAATTATTCTTTAGATTGTATGTGATAGATTTTAGCCATGAGTTATACTGCTGCATGTTTTCGTGTCAAATTTCATTCACTTTTAAAGCACATAGTCAGTCTGTGACTTAAAAAAACAGACAAAGATCGTTAAAAGCACCAAACGCTTTTTCCTGCCCGTCTAATTTGTAGTAAAAACTGAGGTCATCGTGCGCAATGACAAATTTGGATTGGACTGGCACATTCGAGACTCCCCAGACTCACCTATACTGCATTCAAAACCCAGTGCTCCTTTTTTTTTTTTTTCCTTTTGTTGTTTTCCAGACTGCCTTGTGAAAGGTGCTTGTGAAAGTGCGGTGAAACTTATTGTACTGGGAGATTAAACTAATGCAAAAAAAAAAGGAAAAAGGACAAACTAACACATGATCGCGCTACGCTGACACCCAGTTTCCCAAAAACACTTGCAATTGTTTTTTCATAAATCAGTAGAGAATGACTATCATGACTATCGTTTGGATGCCCACCTCAACCATCTGCTATGCGCACACACAATCGGGCTCTTTAAGCAGCTCTGTGGACAATCTTTGGAAATGCAGTGGATGCATAGTTTTGCAGCAGCTGCAGCATTTAGAGAAAAGTAGAGGTGGAACAACAACAGAGAAAGAAAAACAGGGAAATGGGCGTAAAGCACATCTACACATGACATTGAAATATTCGACATTGAAAATGACACTCTTTTTTTCTCCAGAGAAGTGCACTGAGTGTGTGTGTGAGAGTGTGTGTGTGTGTGTGTGTGTGTCGGTTTGTGTGATTGAGTGTCGCCCTCTGAGGAGGAAAAGGACTGAGGCGTTCCTAACTGGGCCCGGGCCAAATTCCACCCAAGAGGTCCATTACATTTACATCAGCTCGGAAACCCGACTCCACTGTCATGAGGTTAAGTGCCAAGAAACAAACAAACAAACCAACAAAAGATGGGCTCCGCTGCGACCACAGGCACTTCTCCCACACGCTGTTCATGGATGAAGGCTGAATGAGTGGAAAGAGCTAAAGGTCTGAGCGATGGTGACAGAGGTAATTGTGCATTCTCCTCTCGAAGAGAAACCTTAAAAAAAAAATAACGTCAATACTGTGTGCGGCTGTAACTTCCTGTACAGGTAAGTATGAGGTGTTTTTTTTTTTTTTTAAAAGCTGATGCCCGCCTGCTGTGCGCAGAGGGCTGTGGAGGCGTTATCTGGTGTGCTGCAATTCACAGAAAAATGACAAGTGTGGGATGGTGGAAAAAAGACAATGCTGACCTAGCACTCACTTTCCAGGCACCCGAGTGTGCTAGAACCGCTGCTCCTCCACCTCCTGGAGGCCTTTTCGCAGCATCCAGTGATGCTCGCGTAGCGTAAAGCTAGCAGGTGGGTCATTTACAACAACCTGTGAGTACAGAAAGCTGTGTTGATTGTACAGAACCGGCTCTCCCACCTCTTGGTGGACTGGCGGGCTGATTGGTTGACTACTAAGACATCCTCCCTGAAGTTGCACAGTGCTATCGCAGTAAGACGTGATCGGGTCCGTTGGAGCTGGGAGGAGACCTGAGGTTTGTGAGCGATTTGCAAACTTGATAAGCCACCTCTGAGTTCTACTCCGACAAGCTCACTCTTAAAAAAAACAAAAAACTAAGCAAAACAAAAAAAAACAAACAAACTGCTAGTGCAAGACCCGGCGTGTTCGGTCCAGTCTGACCGAACAGACGGGTTTCTTTAGGCCGGTGCATCACCCCCCTGCCCCCTCCCAGACTGTCCAGTCCTGTAAGACAAAGCAGGCTACAGTCCAAGTAGAAGATGGACCCCCAACTTTCCCAAGAGTCTACGATTGTCCCAGTCACAAACGCTGAGCGTCTGAAAGTGACATCATTGCTGTTTTGGTGAAGACGCCTGCGAGCGTTACCATTAAGTGTTTGGAAAAACCTGATCATCTCTGCTCGTTCTTTTCAGGGCTGGAGGGAAAAGCAAAGATGAAAACCATGGCTCATTCGGTTTTGTTTGTCCTTCGTCCGTCCTCCTTTCACTCTGTCGTCGCTCACGTCGCTGTTACGTGATACATAGTTCAGTTTTTTTTCTATATATATATTTATTTTTACAAGGTATAAAACAAACCCCTAAGCGCGATAGATGCCTTGTTCTGAAACACATCAAAGGGAGGCGGGGATAGAGCGGACAGCGGGAAGGACAGAAAGAGGGGTAGGGGGGGAGAGATTCTCCATCCAAAGTCTTTGTCGTCTGCCCCCTGCTGGAGATGGACTTTTATTTAAAAAACAAAACAAAAAGACCCCCGAAAAAAGCCTGCTCACAGTGCGTGTGAGGAGGGTACGATGAAAGGGGGGGAGGGGGGTGCAGGGGCGAGGAGGGCTCACTGCCATTATGTCATTTGGTGCGGGGCTTCTAGCATCTCCATGAGGAAGGTGTCGATGGGCGTGTCTCCGATCAGCTTGAAAAAGAACAGGTGCTCCAGACATTTGAGGCCGATGGAGCGCAGCGCTGGTAACCGCAGCAACAGCTTGGCGAACCTGCTTAGACACAAGGCCGAGGCAGCGGGATGTTACAGGCAGCGATCACAAACAGGGCATCAGAAATGTGCAGACGACAGGGCCGTCGGTGACTTGGATCCCACCTTCCCGGCTGCTCGGGGTACTTCTGTTTGCAGTATGCCTCTAAAGACGCGTAGACTTTCTCTCTGAGGGCTTCCACCTCACCTGGGTTGGACAGACCCTTGGAATCTGTAGAGGCACACAAAAGAAGCTACTTTAACTCGGCCCTTTTTCCTTTCAATTATAGCTCTTAGGTCGTTAACCTCTGAACAGAGATTTACTTTCCAGCATCAATCAGATCATGATGGAACACAGAGAAAGACGATTGGACAAATAACATTTTCAGCATTTCTCAGCTGTCTGTGCTCTTTCTTTGGTTAAATCAAGGGCTTTAACTGATCAGCAAATAAAGTTCTGTTTATTTACATTTTGCCCAGTGCCTGGAAAGAGGTCCCTACTCACACACTGAATTTTAACCTCCGCAGGCTCAGTACGAGCGTGGGTCACCACTTTCTGGGTTAGTCCAATTAAGGCTGTAATTTCCAGGCTGCGCTGATCTCAGCTTCCACGAAAGACGCCTCTTTGATTCACAACATAAACACATTATCAACATTGATTAACATTTCACGAGAACAAAAGCGCGGCCCGATCGCCCGACGATGAATGAAAATATGTTGCTAATGGCCGAGCGAGGCCGCGCAGTGTGGGAAAAGGGAGGACTGAAGGCCCTTTTAGCCTCACCGGCCCCTCCTCCACAACCCAAACCCTTTGCTCCGTCTGTCAGACCAGTCTTCCAAACCGCTAATTAACAAGCAATCCCCCCCAGATTAAAAAAAGGACAGAGGCCTGCGGGCCGAGATGCGGCCTAAACAAAATGCGGTCCCCACACCGATGGTGTCGCTGGCATTAACAGCGGCTCTCAGACGGACGGAGTGAGACTCCCACATCAAGTCATTAAAACAGAGGTCACCGTCAGCGACGACGAGAGAAAACAGATGTTGTCGGGTTTGGTAGCGTTTAAATAAAGAACAGCGTGCCTCTGTAAGACACACATCGCATACAAACAGCATTTGAGGAAAAATAGAAAGGAGAGGTTTCTTTTCTTGCCAATTGAAATGCAGCAAAGTTAATTATCTTTTCCAAAGATGTGAAGGAATGCCTCTTGTTATCCCTCATGAAGCCATGCAGCTACAGCTAAAGCTGACGTCTTCTCCTGCTCTCTCGAGTCTGCTGAGGAACCTTAAAGGTCACACGTGCAAAGGCTTACCTGGGTTGAATAGGACGATGGCTCGAAGGCACCCCAGTTCTGTCTTATCCATCTGCATGTCTCTCATCTTTGACACCAGTTCTGTGAGCACTCTGTGCAACAGAGGGGGAAAAAAAAATAAGCCCAAAAAAAAAAAAAGTCTGATCTGTGGCTCATTAAAATTCAGGACTCAGGCGTAGTTGATTTCTTGGCTACTGTGTTATGTCAGACAAGCAAACAAGAGCCAGAAAAGTTAGGATCACACGAAAGCGCTTGAGTCTAATTGGTACATTTTTGCAAATGAGTCACTGCTCCTCATGTGAACTTACCCAGACTGGCACGTTCGAAATGTGTTTTTCGACCGCTGCCCAACTCGCATCCATTTAGAAACAAAACAAACGCACACCAGCCTACAGTGGGCCCGCATAGGCGCAGATCAGTGGAAAAGTTTACAACCCTGCAGAGTAATTATGTTTAGTATGTGGTTTTCATAAAAGGAAAGCCACAGAGTAAACACGAGTTGTAATCCAACACCAGCGCTCCCGCTGTCTGTGTGTGACATCACTGGTGGGTGTGCCGCTGTGTGGAGCCGCTCGAACTCCTCACCCCTCTTTGACTCGGTCACACCCTCTCCCCGGCGCTCATTATACCCCCCCCCCCACTCTGTTTCTCTCTGGCCCTCGCACTCGAATAGTAAAGTCAATTGTGGTTCTTAGCTCATTGTAATTCAATTTGCTCCGAGCAGGAGAAACGGAGATGCGAAAAAGTAAAAAAAGAAAAAAAAAGATAAAATAAAGGAGCGAAGTGTGTAAGTTAATCAGTCTCTTCATTTGTATGGGGAAGAAAGAGAGGAGAGTAGATAAGGATACATAATCAGTTCCCTGGATCTTAATTCTTGCCACAGTTAATGCAGAGATGGAATATGTCCTGTGGCAGTGAACGCCATGAGTGAGCATGAAGGCTGCTGATCAGAGACAATGGTACAACCTCTCAGATTAAAGCAAACCGCTATTCCTCGGTCAGAGAAGATATACGACTCCAAGGGTCATTTTCATTTTCAGGAATGACGGCTGCTGGTGAATTATGTGGATCAATAAAAACTTAAAAGGAAGTTTTCATATCTTTTGCACCTTTGTTGGGTGTTGTTCAAGGCACGTATTAACCCACATTTCTTTATCTTTCTACACACCATACCCAACTTCCTACAACAGCAAGGAATGGAATGGTTTTCTTTTTATTGTAAACATAGTTTTTTTTTTTTAATTAATTGATTTCAGACTCCTGCTGGGTCCCTACTACACTCAGTTTTCCAGAAGCTACACCTGTGTTTTGATCCAGCCTGAGGTGTTAATCATTATGGAGGAGTTCTTCTCTGTAGCATAAAGGTACAGAGAAGGTAAATGCCTCTCTTCCGTAAAGTTCTAAAAGCTAGATCAATGCACTGATGAATATGGGTTATCCCTCAATCAGATTTTCCCGTTTTACACAAACCCATATAAATATATATATATATATATATATATATATGTGTGTGTGTGTGTGTGTGTGTCCGTATATATGCTGCTCATATATTTTTTACTTTCCAAAAAGCCTCACTCACTTCTTCTCATGCTGTGATGCTGTTGAAGTGATGCTGTTGAACACACACAACACACTCACACAAGTCATCTTTCACTCAGTATGTCAGCTTGCTGCCTCGAAACGTCAATAACAGTCACCAGGGTGGTTACTTCTCACTCACTGACTTCACTTAGGCTGAACTTCGCATGGATTCTTTTTTCTTTTTTTTTTTTACACATTCTCTGAGTAAGTTAGAGTTTCTTCCATACCCATGATTCACCCAAGTGTACATAATTAATATAATGGAGCTAATCAATAATTCTTGTACTGCTTAGCCCTGGGTGAAGCATCCTTGTGATTTCCAGTGAATGTGTATCACAGTGAAAGTAAGTGGTGCATGCTGTCAAATGTAAGACTACTTTACCTACACTTATTTAATTGTGTAAAAGAAAAAATCTTAATTGTGCAGTGTGTCTTTTTTGCGCCACAGAAAGCGTGTTCACAACTCTCATGATATATTTTCCACAAAGAAACCATGCATTTCTTCAGTCAGTGTTATTATGGAGTAAAACGTATGAATAAATCACTTAAAGTAAGCATATACTACTATGTGATCTATCTGTTGATTTTCCAAAAAAGTGGCAGATAAAGAAGTGTTAAAAGTGATTTTTAGAGTTAAATAAAACAAAATAAAGGTATAAGAAAGTTCAGTAATATGGGAAGAGTGACCTGTCAAAGATGGCTCCAACTCCAGCACTATGGGCGCTATTGCGGTGGACGTGCAGCCCCGTCGCCAGCAGAATCCCATCTTTAACCGCTATGGAGCGGTGTGAAAACGATGCAATAAGGAGTTCATTCCAGCCTGAAGCAGAGATAAGTACAGCGATTAAGGAGAAATATAAGAAAATAACTAAATCCCAGACAAATCTAAAAAAAAAGTACACGTAACATTCAAGCAAGACTAAACTGACAACAAAGGCAGAATTCCAATGAATCAATTACACTACACCGTAAAACCCCGCAGCTTTCTCAAGCATAAGCATCAGGTTATTACTAAGACATTTGAATCGTGCTTTCTAAAGAGACAAGCGTGTAAAAGGGATGAACTGCGCCTGCCATGACAATAAAGACAACAGGGTTGATGTGCCAAAGCAGGGGGCCTGACACAGAGAGCAGCGAGGACACAAGACGACGCCGTGTGAGCGACGGGGCTCCTTTAACTGTTCTGCCTGGCAACACTCGCCTCTTTTCCCCACAGTTGAGCTGGCTATGAGAGGAGCTGAGATGCTTTTATCTGTGATACAGCAGAACTAAAGCGGTTATTTATAGAAAACCTGAGAGCCGAGAGGAGACTCGCTCTGCAGATTAATGTGTCTTCTTCTTTGCTGACGTCTCTCCGTTATTGTATATGCAAACGACAAGGAATGATGGAGGATTCTTTTTTTTCTTTTTTTGTACGTGCGTTTTTGTGTACACTTCTTTTCCTGGAGGTGGATGGAGACTATAGTGGTGTAATTTGGAGTGACAGGCAGGCAACCGGGGCAATGTGTTGGGAGAACCCAAAAGACCTCCATGCATGTGACGTTAGTGAAAGCAGCAGAAGTGACAGATGATTCACTCTCTGTTCCATGTCGCTGTCACCGTCATGCATAGCAGTGAGCTTGCTTTTGCACATACAGCACATGCATACAGAGATTTTAGGTCTGTCTCTTCTCATCTTCTCACGATTACGTGACTAAGAGAGTTTTCTACCTGGACAAAGACTGGGAGCTAGTTCAGGTATTTTATATTACCTACATATGATCTATTTTATATGTTTTGCAAATCAAATACAGTAAAAATTTTTCATCCAGTAACAGCCAATAATGTAAATAATGGTGACAGTGGAACAATTTAACAATTACATTTTTATATATATATATTTATATAAATTGAAGCTGTGGTGACATACCTGCTCGTAGAAGGATGACCTGGTCATCCAGCGGCAGTTCAGAAAAGTGCGGGATCCTCTTGGCCCACTCCACCAGGGTAAAGAGCTGCTTGTCCGCCGCTTGACAGATATTTGTCACGGGGTCGTTGGGCTGCGGGGAAACAGGTAAAGGAATTGGAGTGATATTTTCGTACGTTCGGCGACTGTTTGTCTGCTTTGGCTGACTGCCCCTGATGTTGGAACGCCTCTGAGTGACCCATTGCTGTGTTGTTACACACATCGACACCAGCACAAGTGCTATTCTGTGAACAGTATCCTCCCAATAGTGGGAAAACAAAACAAATAGCGGTTCTGTCCCAGCTTGAGGAGGAAATACCTGCAGAGAGCTGCTGGCGGAAAAACAACTTTCGCTGAGCGGACTCTTTCTTTGGGGATGTGTTAGTCGAAACACTCTTGGACAGCTAGAGGTGCTCAAGAGGCCCTCAAGAGGCTCTTCTGAGGTGCCACTACAAAACAAGTGTTAGGGAGGTGAAAGGAGGACTTCTGGCAGGGGCTTCTGTAAAGCAGCAACTGTACTGCTAAACAGGAACACTCCTCCAGTCATGTGGCCTGAGAGTCTTCTGTTTGATTCTCCTTAAAAGAACAAATATAAAGTCATAGTGATGTGTCTTTCTTGAGATGTCCACATAAATCAAATTCTGAAGAGACGTACTGGGATCTCCATTCTTTAAGTGGAGAAAAACCATGAGGTTGCTGAATGGTAGAACAAGCTGTGCTGAGGACTAGGAGAAAAAGGTACGTGATCCTCTGAGAAATGAAAGGCACACATGATCTACAGAAAAAGCGACAATTATTTATTGATTTGACTATATTAGTCCCCTGTAAGCATTGAGGAGACATGAATATAAAAGCAGCACAAAAAGATGGCAGCAACCTTACAGCTCTGAGACAGGTGAAAATGCTTTTAAAAAGCCCTTTGGTCTCTTGACATCCTGAAAAACATAAAAGGTATCTCAGCTGTGGCGACATTTGAAATACTCTTGCCTTCCCCCTTCAAAATGGGATAAAGAAAAACATTTTTTTGTTTTTTTTATCTAAAAATATAAGTTTTGAAATAAAAACAGTGATCAATTCATAACTTCTTTCTAGTGGGGCGATACAAATCTGTGCATATTAAAGTCAGTTGCAGCTCCCAAATACTTGAGGTGCCTTAGAAATACCCAGTTCATAGCACTATTACTGGTCCTGCGATGTTCATACTTATACACTGGATTAACAACGTGACAGAGTGCCCTCTGAGGGTGTATACTCCCTGCTTTTCTCCCAGTCTCCTTTGACTACCTCAAACTGACCTAAAAGCCATTGGTCGCTAACTCCATTAAAACCGGGATTCAAGTTAGGAAGGGCCTCTAAGGCCTCCATTGCTCTCACCCATTGTAAGTAATCACCTTTTTCCGTCCTGTTGAACTCATTTGGAGTTTTTGACTTGGGAACTTTGCTTTATCCTGTACGGAAGTAACTCATTTCTAACATTTACAGCCTTATCAACTCTGCTACTGACGCCTCTCTTAAGTTATACTGAATCTTTGACATCTTTGCCTGACTGTGAAGAATGACTTCTTTTACTTATCTATGAGCTTATTTGAATAATTTTGTTATTTGTGTATTCATTAATGAATATTGTATTTCCACTGAAAACTGTTCTTTGTAGGCTGGGGTGGAACTGTGGGTGAGATAATAAATACAAGAAAATTGCAATGCGCGTCCTCTGGGGCACATTGCACCTTCATGTTTTTGCCTGTGAAATTGGTTCAAGGACAAGAAGAGACAACAAAAGACAGGAAAGAAAAGAGGAAACCTTTGGTAACTTATTTTCAAGACATAAGTGACAAGCATAAGCTTTCCAGAAACAGAAAAAAGCAAAAAAAAGAAACAGGGCTACAAACTGAACAGAACTCTACTTTAGAGCTGGCCTATGACATTCAGATGATCAACTGGACACAGTAATGATCACATATGGTGCTTTCACCAAAGCAAATTCCTTGTATGTGTAAACCTACTTGGCAATAAACCCAATTCTGATTCTGATTCTGATATAGAGGAACAGATATTACAGCAGATCAGCTAAATGAAACTGAGATGTAACAGGTGAACAGGCTGGTTGGTCCCCTCAGGAATGATTAAATGATATGCCATAAAAATATCAGTTAGACTGCTAATAACAGTTGGTTTACGCAGTTTTGTCAAGATTTGGATCTGTTCCTGTGCTGGTGCATTATATCCAAAGATGCCATTCTTCCACTAACAGAGTGTAGCTGTAGAATACTAATGCACTTGTGCATATAGCATGAATACCTGCTAAATTTCAACTCCATTGATGGGGCTGTGGGGGCAGGGATTTCCCAAACAATACTGTCAATCTCAGCAAGTAATCCCCCACCACCCTGGGAGTGCATACCCTTCATATGCATATGTGTAAACAAGGACTTCATACCCACTTATTTCTGCATAAAATCAAATTGCATACAAGTTCATATATTAAGTATCCAGTGTGAACTTGAACATTCGAAAACTTCTCCCTCACTTCCATTCCCAAATCCCAAGTATTGATGCTAAAAGCTCAACTTCCAGGTCTCCAGAGAAGATTAGCTCAAGATGAAGGAAAAACGGATCGTCGTTCACACTGTCTGTTTATTGTATGCAGGACAAAAGCCATCCTGTCCCCTCCTCCACATTCCTTCCCTATGGTGTGAAACTCACGATGACTGCAGAGTATCACAGATGCGCATCCGAGAAATATATATACAATTTACGCCAGAAAAAAATGATGTTTTGGAAAACTGAAAGTCGTCTTTTCAACCCCCCCCCTTCAGGGGCAGTGGGAAAACAGGCACGCTTATGAATATTTCAGCATCTGATCTCCATGGGACATGGTGGACGGTGCCACCTAGAGCTACGTTTCTTCTGAGCTGCCTTTCCAAACAGGTTCCGCAAACTCATTCCAAAGGGCCGCCAAAACAGAGAAAACCAAAAAGGGGCGGGGATCCAAGTGTGTACCAAAGTCAAGGTACCCCATTCTCATAAGGATGCAATGGCCAGCCTCATGAATGCTGTATGGCTATCTTAGCCATGTTTACACTGACCTGGATTCTCAACTTCGGTGCGAGCTGACAGAGAGAAGGAGCTTACAGTTCTGCAGCATCAAATTACTCCGCTTGGAGTTCATGTCGCTGAGCTGCATTTGGGATGCTACTGGGACACAATGGAGGACCCGGCATAAGAAGTATCAAGCTCCATGTATGAAAGAAGGCTAAGACCAAATGGCCAGCTAAAAAGGTAACTAAGCAGGAAGAACTTATTTTTTCAGGCCAGATAATAATGGAATACGAGATAGTTTATCAGTCAGAAAACTAAATGTCTTCATGCAGGCAAATCAATGGATTGATGCCATAGGCGCTCTGCATCATCACCATCCAGCCACTCTCGGAAATGCTAGGCTTGCATTCTGTCCTATGAAATTTTCATCACTAGGGGGGCGGGGACGAAAGATCTTTCCTCTCAATTTTTCATTATTCTGCTTGAACCATACTCTGGTCGTGTGACAACAGAAAGAAAATTGGGTACTAACCCAGTATGAAAATAAATTACTCAAGTGTCCCACTTTTGAACATTTTGAAAATTTTCTATTTAACTCCAGATAACTGTCCTCAAACATGGAATGACTCACAAGCTCACAACCATCAAAACAACAGTATTTCATTCCGCCACAATCTAAAGGACACACCGGCAGATATTTTTGTTTGCCTTTAAGTCAAATTAATGTACAGGCAGAAGAGCAGCCACCCAGAAATGACACTAAAAATAGACCAAAGGAGTAAAGAAACACCCTCAGGATTGTTGAATGATAGAATCCTCCTGCCAACCCCTCCTCCTGGAGAGAAAACTTCTCCTCTCAGACTAAAGGGATATTACTAACGCCTGTTTAACTCCTGTTCTAGGTCACCATGATATAAACACAATTTTATTCAGCCTGGCCAGACCCCAGTCATTAGACAGTGGTAGCGACCTATTCAAGGCATACACTCGTGACCTGGGCCCTGTGATTAATCATAGCATGGGGCAGTGCCCCTCAATGGAGACACAGGGAGGGCATTCACAGTGTTTGGAAGAGTTTAATGTTGAGACTGTGCCAACATTGCGAGTTAAAGGGACAGTTAAAAGGTCAGTAAGGCCGAATTGGAACATAAAACTAAAAAAAGAAAAATGACGGAATCCTTGGTCTTTGGCACTATTTGCTCCAGATACAATGTGTTCCCCGCCACTTCTTTCTGCAGCTCATCTAGTTTGGTTGTATTTATGGTGGCCATCAAAGATTCAGATGTACAACTCAAACTATCTTTCATGAATAATTCTATTTATTTAGTGCATCCCATCAAAGTTATGTGCAACAAAAAGTAATCGGAAAGAAAAAAAAAACACAAACAAGAACAGTAAAGAACATTAGCTGGTTCTGACTTTTCTGAGTGTTTGAGCTCAGAGGATTTGGCCTGAACTAATTACTGGTGACTTTTTGGAGTTTTCAATGGAGTGCATTCAATTTTCTTCCCAAACCCTCTTGAAAAAGGATCATAGATAATATCGATAATATTCTACTATAACTTGGTCAAAATGATACGTTTTCGTAGATCCTTATCAAATCCTGTGGGACGCTTCCTTTTGGTGTTGGAGTGCAGAATTATTTAGGAACTCTCCACGGCTGAGCCCTAACACACACAGTGCATTAGTGCGTCAGAGCTGCCATCCCAATCCCCTGCTCCTCAACCTCCTTCATCTCTCCTGTCAACGCTCATCTGCTACATTTCCACCTGGCCCCTCCCCAGGAAACAGCTTGCATTTACTCTCAAAACAGTCCTCAAATTTCTACCGTTATTTCACAGAACATTTGCCTCCACCGAAACAGATGAATTCCAGAAGAAATGCTTCCCCTTCCCCCTCCTCTCTGTTGCACAGTTCCTCTGTTTCCCGTGTTGCAGCAGAATTCCAGAGAAAGCCACGGCTGTGCGGGATGCTTTCAGGAACAGTCTGTCTGTTGCATTATTCATCCCTCTTAGTCTGCTCTGTGTCAAAGACAGCCCAGCTGAGACAGGGAGCAGAGAAAGAGACTCGCAGCTGACTTACGGAGGTGAACAGCTACAATAGCGCTCACAACAACAAGCAGCCGCTTCCCAAAGGTCCCCCCAAAAAAAGGACAGAATATCTTACACTCATCCACATCTAAGAGCAGGCAACATCCACATTCAAAAGCGTACTTCATATACCAGGAAAATGGGGAGAAAGAGAGAGAAGAAAAAAGGCAAACAAATTCACTGGAAACTTTTTGTGGCGATGGTTCAGTTGCAAGGCAAGGCTGTCATCACTGTGATGTTTTTTTTTTATTTCTGGACTTCACAGTCCAGCACAAAAGAACAAAAGGAGGCAAAAGACAGTTCTGACAATTCTGTCCCACACTCCGGAGCTGTGACTGTGCAGACACCCTATATTAAAGTTTGTTTGTTGGCATTTTAAGAAACCCCACAAAGGTGTTAATGCACCAACGGCTGTTTGTCTTCTGAAACTAATTCAGGCCCAGATGTGAAGTTGCCGATGGTAGCAGCTCACATGGGGCTTTCATTGGAATTCCAACCGTCAGATGCAAGAATCTGACACGATTTAACAAGCAAACATTAAGAACCGTAATCATTTAGTGCAATATTGGAGCGAGATGGTGTTGTGTGCATCAGCACCCACATTTGTAACGCAAAAAGAAGAAAAACAAAAAAACAACTCACCGAATTGGACGGCACCCCGAGGTTGCTCTCAATGTAGGTCTCTGTTTTGGGTTCCACCGCCTGCTCGGCTTCCAGGATCTTCTCCACGGGCATGTCCTCGTTCACGCAGCTGGTCGACTCCACCTCGTTCTCGTTCTTGTCCTTGGCTCGCTGGCGCTCCTCCTGAACGGCTGCATGTAACAAAACTGGTTCCGGTCACTACTGCTGTTTGACAGGGTCAGCATTTTTGTTTCAAGAGCATGCACCTTAAATCAAAGAGTCTGAACCCCGAGATTACAAAGCATAGACTGCTGAGAAGAGTTCTTGCTTTGGTTCAGTATCAGTGTCTGGGTTAATAAAGTTAACGCAGACATAGATGGTTAAATGCAAAGTCTTCATTTTAATTCAAATGTGGTGAATTTTTAGATCACATGCTCATTGCATCAGTGGTATAGTGCACATAGTATACGTGCAACGGTTTACAGGCACGATGTACTGTATAAATTAAATCTGCATCCCTAAAATTGTGAGAAAAATTTGGCATATCTGAGAGAGTGCAATCATTAATAATATTCCAAGGAACATCAAATGAGTACAAACTGACCCTCGAGCTCCTTAATGCTTGAAAAATCAGTGTGGATTTGCCTTCCAATTTGCTTATCAAAGAAATGAGTTTTTTTTTTTTTTTTCATTTTGAGTTCAATGACAAACGGTCATTTTCACACAGAAATCCTTCATGGACGCATAATGAATAATGTATGGTCTTTTGCTCACTCCGTAATGCCACGCATGAAGGCCAGAAAATTTCAGTAGGAAAAAAGCCTCAGCATCAACCAATGATTGAGCGCCGCCTCTAAAAGCGCATTTAAAGAGTTCTGCCCTCTGATTGGCTTGACAGGTAGAGACAGGAAATGGTTATGCGGGCACAGAGACTCATGGATGTGATAGAAAACACACGCGAGAAAGTTACATTTGTGTGTTCTGTCTATACAAACATCAGTTCACTCAGGATACCACAGAACAAAACAAACCTTTGTGTGCACTGTGGCTTTTATTCACAACCATGAGTGAATATAAACATGTGTCTTGTGATAAAGAACTATCATATATTAAAATTCAGGATCTATATTAGACTGTCTTCATCCTGAGGCAGACTCTGTCTCACACATAGTCGCATATTGAGGGTGTGCAGGATGGCCTGTCTTCTCAAGTTTTCCCTCCTCTGGTTTCTATTTCATGTCCTCAATCGGAGAGGCCTTGGTCATGTTGTTAGGGAAAGGAAAGCAGAGAGGTTGTTAGAGGAGAAGGAGAAAGGGGCCCCACTTTAGAGGAACTGCTGTCTGGTAGTGGAGGTCAGCCCAAGGGTAGAATACTTGTGTTGGAGTCACAGAGAGGTGAGGAGGGCTGAAATCATGTTAGCTTTATTCTACCCCCCCACCTCCTTCTCTCCTGTCCTGACTGGGAGAGCATAAATTCATTTAATCCTGTTTTTCTGTGGATTCGCTCAGCCTTTTGGGCTACCGCTGCCTTGTTCTCTAACTTCAGCCCTCGGGGTGCAGGGGAGGCTTAGGCGGCACGGCGAGTGAGGCAAGAGGCAGTAAATGATAATATCCCTGAAAGGAGTAAAGAACCCAACAATGACATAAATAAAAAAGAAAGGAGAGGGAGGGGGAAGGCGGGAAAAGGTCAAGAAAAATTTGGTTCAGACAGAACAGACTCTAATGTTGTCATGTTTAACAATGCTCCTACGTCCAATACAGCATGTTACCGCAATTCTTCTTTTTTTTTTAAAGCTTTTATTGCTGCACTGTATGGTTTGTTACACATTCTCTACAGAATCTCCATACAAAGCCTGCCACGCCATAATGGAGAATAGCATTGATTGATATGTTCAATGTGCGAAAGAGTGCTTAAGAGCACTGCAGAGAGCACTTATATTTCTTAGCACCTACATGGAGTGTTAAAATTCTCACCTCTCTCCCTGTTTTTCTTTCCTTCACATAACAAAACTCTTCCTGTTCTTAAGCACACTGCAGTCATGCTCTCAGGGCCCTTTGCTTCACGGCTCCGCAGTGAATCACAAGCAATATTTAACAACTCACCGTCACCTCAGGGGGCGGCTTTGTCATGAGAGGCGGCACTCCAGCCTCAGTCATTTTCATCAAGGAAATGTGACATTATCATGTACAAATCACCATAGCAACATGATGCATTCCAATGTGAGCAAGGTCCCACTAAGACAAAGCTTTAGAGGATGTCAGGTGTTTCCAGGTTGGCTGTTCTTGCCATCTTACATAAGTACAAAGAACTCGAGCTACAGAACTAACTAATAGAGATCAAAATACGCAGACTAATGATGAATAAAGCATCCTTTCTTTAAAAGAATGAAAGCTGCAAACACAACTGAACTGCCTAACCACATTTACAGAAATACCAAGATTGTGCTCAGGTCTTTAATACCCAATATACTGGGACTGATTAACAGGGTCTTTTCCCCCCAAAGGGCAGGATAAGTATATTCATACATTTAGCAGCAGGAAGAATGTGGTGTAAATGTTCACCATGCTGTTTAATTGCAAGAGTTCTTCATATTTTATGAAACACTGATTTCAATTGAATTTGGGCTTTGCAGCAACTTGCAGTGTATGAGAGCGATTGCACAGACAGGCTTGCTCATAATGGCTTTTAGAGTTTTAAAATAAACATTCAACTTGCATGAGCAATCACATGCTGCTGTGATCTATTTCTGTTTCTACTAAAGGAGCATAGAAAGCCCTTTTTGACTTGGAAAAAAATCAAATAAAGACACGTCCATCTGTGTAAATGTGTTCATCCTAAGGGAGTCTAAAAGATATCCAGAACGTACCCACTTCTGTCAAACTGCCCAAATGTCTCACAGTTTGATCGCCTACATGAAGCTAGGTCAGTATGACCTGGTCCTACACACTTTCAAGTTTCAGCTTAAACCTACATTGAACAACTGTCTTACCCAGGAAAACATTATAATCATAAACCCCTTTCATTGATGCTCACCTTTAGCTCCTTTGTAAAAGCGATGTCAGGGTTGTTTAGTTTTTTTAAAGACAAAAAGATACATACTTTGCCCAGCTGGAAAAACTAGCAACTCACATACTTACTTACTATTTGGTCACCTTGCTGCTGGCACCAAACAGACTTGTAATTTGTATGGAAGTGTTCCCTTCCCTGTATGCTATGTAAAAAAAATGCTGTACTTAAGATAGAAGGGTGCTCCATCCAATCTCCTGAGTATTATTTGAAAAGAAGCAGTATATTATTTTGCCTTGAGGTTTAAATGATTCATTCAGAAGACATAAAGGCTCACAGTCATTGAGTTTAGCATTTGCAAAAACATGATTGTTGCTAAACTGCTAAACATCCCTATTCTCACCTCAGTTAATCACCACTCTTATTTAATATGGCATGAAATTAACTTTATAAACCATGCATCCAAATACAGTGAAACGGTAAGTAAAGTGGGGTGTACCTTTCTTACTGTCCAATTTAAGCTCAGCTTAAAATGGACAGCAAGGTCTGTGGTCTATTGTGACCGAGATCGCTGAGGACAGAAGAATTTATATCACAGATTTAAAATATCTGGGATATATATCTGTGTCTGTAGAAATGATGTAACAACAGTGAGTGCAAATGTGCCAAATTCTCTTTTCTTGCAAAGCTGGCTTTCCAGTACATTTTTATAGAAAAGCATACATCCTTTAATGTACTCTGTTATATTAATGTTCTTTTTAAGAAGTTTGCACACTGCGTTTGGGGCACTGGTGCACACGCCACCAGTGTGAAGCCTCACAGGGTTAGATGTTCTCACAAACCTTCCATTTCCATATCCGCCAAGACCGAATCTGTGACGGCGCAACAGCTGAAAGCATTATATCTCTAAGAGCGCTGAGCATTTCCCCAAACACTTGCAGACGCTCCTCCTGAATTTAATCTCTGAGTTAGACGGAACTTCATTTTACATTAATGCCATATGTCATGGGACATGCATCTGGTTTTTGCAGCTTGGCAAAGTTGACACCTGCCTGTTTTATGTCAAACCAGAAGGATTTCTTAGATCACTTGTTTGTTGCACTTTGCAATGATTTAAAGACCACAGGAGAGAACGAGCATTGTATCTAGCAGGCTCATGCCTTATTAATGTTACTACCGCACTGTGCAAAATTCAGCCAACCTGTGGGCTCAGTTCTCTGTTTCTGATGGTCAAAATCATAAATATATACGTCATATTTAGAGGCTTTATATCGGTTTAAACAGTCATTTAAGGGGATTAGTCCAGATTTGAGGGGAAAGGTAAGCAGGACTTTATCCTCAACGGTATGTGCTGTACCTTCTCTCTTCATGCCCATGGCTAAACACTTCTGGTAGCGGCAGTACTGACAGCGGTTCCTCTGGCGTTTATCAATGACACAGTCCTTGTTGTCACGACAGGTGTAGGTCAGGTCCTTGCGCACAGTTCTTTTGAAGAATCCTTTGCAGCCCTCACAGCTATACACCCCGTAGTGTTTACCTAAAGAAATAAAAGGGAAAACAGAGGCAGTTTGTCTGGTGATAGAAGATACAGGATTTGTTGTGGGTCACATTCCCCAGAAGACCGTCACATATGTGACGGTGTGCCATCCCGTGACAACAAAAATAATTGTGGGATACATTGGGACTTAATTAACAGGTATTCACACAGAGATCACAGTTACATTTATAGTCCTTATGTTAAAGCACACAACCAGACATGAAGGAACCAGCATTAGAGAGAACAAAAGAGCAATTATGATCAGAGGCCTATGAAAGTGAACAAGCTGTGTTTGGGGTCTACATTTCTGTGGTGAGAGAAAAGACAAGAGGAGCCTACAGCAGGCACGCTGTAGGGAGACCCCGTTCTAATGTCGGCCCATTGTTCCAAAAAGTTCTCTTTTTGTTGTTTATGACAGATGGAGGCCATTTGCATTCTCTACTATTGCTCAAACTGGGGCTTTGTTTGCACTCTGCTGGTCAGACCACCAGAGAAGATAAATAAGGCCTCGAAGCACAACAACGTGAAGCATGACTTGCTATTAAACACTGTTTTGATTTTCCCCCACGGGCGCATGAAACACCGATGACGCAGGATGACAGTAAAACTGTCCAATGAATTAGATATCCACCTTTGCCCTACGGTTCAAAACTTTTCATGATAAACCCCAGAAAAATATTTAAACAAAGGCTTTTTTGTTCACCATTTGAAAAGGGGAAAAAAGACGGATCTGCAAAGAAGTCTCTATGCGAGTCACTTACAGTGCAAACAGTTAATTATCGGTTAAAATGCTTGTGTGGGTTAAATGAGGTTGAAGAGGAAAAACTAGAAAGTAGCAAAGAAAGTGTAACCTTTGAGACTATATGAGCACGTTTTAATAAGATCCATTGATTTAAGAAAATCCTTAATTTGAGTTGACCTGGTTAAAATAAAGTAACCGTACTAGTAATAAGCAGTATAGACAATGGATGGATGGATGGTTCAAATAGATCTGGAGGAATAAAAATGGGAATAATTCTTTGAATATAACTGTATTAAAGGAAACAGATCTTCTTTACTTCAATTATTTTAATAAATACTGAACAATAATGTCATCCCTCTGAAGTCTTAAATAAGTTGACTCCAACCGTAGACAAAGAAAACACAATATATTACACCACATATTTATTCATTCATCAAAAACTTTTCAAAATTGGATTACAAGTACAACCACCTTCAACAACAACGAAAATACTAAGGTATAAATCATAAAGTTAAAGTTATATATATCCAGTAATTAGCTAGTTTCTTCAGCTTTTTAAGTTTGTCTCTGAAATGAAGTGATCATCTGAAGGTAGTTTGAGAACATTGTTTGTATTTGAGTTTGCTTTCTGCTTCTCAGCATCGGTCACATAACTGGTCGAGTCAACTGCAGGACTGTTCTTTTCCGCTAGACGCTAATTTGAGGGTTGGTTTCCTCCCAGCATATGTTCTTTTTCCTTCATGATATCGGGTACTTTTATGTGTTTTTTATGCTGCAACTGTTTACAACAAAGCAACGTCTTTTTCTGACAGTCATGCCAGTTTGCAAATATCTGAAAAATAAATAAATAAATGAAAAAACTCCACTGACTGTTGTCTTTCCAGGAAGTTTTTCCCAGTGCAAAATGCTGCTGTGTGTAGCTCTGCCAAAGTAGTCATTTGGGTTGTTCCTACCAAAAGTTCAACTCATCTTCTTTTTGGGAGTTTTCTCCCAGGCTAGAGCAAGATGTTGAGAAACCCTTTTTTTCTTAAAAAAAAACAAAAAAATTATAATGGAAGTCTGTTTCTCCCCAGCTGTTGAGAGATTATAACAAATGCTACTTTACATCACTGTGTCACACTCAATGGTTAGGCCTTGACATGTGTACACGATTTAACACATAACAAGGACAAAAACTGACATCCGGCTGCTTTTTATCGTTGGTGATTTTGCTCTTGGAAGGCCCCCTCTTTCCAGACAGCTGTTCCCACCTGATGTCACTCACCTGAAGAACGGTCGCCGCAGATGGCACAGATGTGTTTAGTGAGCGACAGAGTTGTGCCTGAGGGCTGGGCTGGCACCTTCATCACGCCGTTGAGGCCCAGCGGGGGCTTAATGTCCTCCGTGCTGCTGACAGAGTTCATCGGAGAGTTCAGCTGAAACGTCAACACACACAAACACACACACCAACAGGTCACAAAGCTGACCCCTGAACTCAAAACTGGCAATTTAACACACTTCATAACACACAAACCCAGGGCTGGAACCTGATAGTTACCCAATGATATCAGGAATTGAGTGACAGGCAGATTTGCCAAGAAGACAGGATTTTACCAACATGAACATGGACATGAAGAGCTCAGACCAGTGTTCTGAAAAGGATACCATGTCTGTTGAAACATGATGCTGACGGTCAGCAGTCCTGACAGCATTTCTTTTTACTATTCGTCACGACTTCCCCCGTCTCTCTTTTCCTTCCCACTCACCTAGATTTAAGGTCTAAATCTGGCGCAGCAAAACCCCAGAAACTCTTTTATTCACGCTCTCAACAAGCCCCGCTGGCACCAAAATGTTCAGCGTTAGCATAACTCCACTGCAAAATTTATCAGTACACCAGAATAAAGAGGCAGCATTTGTTTGAGCAGCGGTGCAACTGCTGGCTTGAGTCTAACGCCAACTGCTGCCCCCCTCCTGTGAAAAAGAGCTTTGACGAGATCCATCCCGAAGTGACCCTTCATTGCCTCCTGCTTAAAGAGAAAAGCAAAAGGAGGCTAATCATTATAACTACCACCACGTTGTTTTCTGAGAAGACAAATGTTGCCAGGTCAGATATAGATGATTATAAAACCTAAAAGCAATGGAAAGAGCGAAAGGCAAGCAAACCATCAGTAATACAAAGTAAAAACATTAGAAGACTTCACCAGACTAGAATTGTAATTGTAGATGGAAAGAACAGGAAACAAAATGAAGGAGGAGGATTGCATACTCTTCAAATGCTGCTGCAACAGGGGGCTGACTGATGGAGTTGAAATATGCTCAAATTGCCAGTCATGTCTTTTATAACATAAGCACCTATGACAAAGCTCTGACTGCACAAGATCTTCCCTGACATGAAACTTAGCTCAAACTTTGAAGAAGGCTATCTCTTTACAGTGGACAAATAAGATCAAACTTTGAAACACAACTGGTTTTGTCATCTTAAAATATGTGTTATATAACATAATGGAACAGATTAGCTACCTAATGATAATAAAATAGCAGTTTCTGACAAACAGAATGCAGCTCAAAATGCTACAGGCTGAAAAGAATTAGCACCACATTAAAAAACAACAATAAATCAGTTAATGGAAAAAGCATTATTTTGAACATTTTAGTCACACCTTTTAGAAAATTCTATAAATTGTCAGAATTTGACATTTTTGGGGTTTTGTTTGGTGGACTCATATCGTCTAATATCTAACAACTCTAACACAACTCAACCTGTTCCATTAGACCCTCCAGCCACAGGTAACAAAGCTCCTGCAGAGCCACAGAGGATGTAATACTATTGTTTTCGTGTACTATTGTTCTGCCTGTGTACTGCAAAGGTGAAGCTGATGTGACAGAAGTTAATACTAACAGCCGTTTATCTGTACACACTAAAGGGAGCATAAGCTTTTGTGGCTTCAGGCATCTTATTTAATCTCCTAAAACTGTTAGACGCCAGAACTTGATTCCTCTTTAACATCCTCAGTTGGAAAAATGTCAGTAGTTCTTATGTGTTTTAGCTTGGAGCTACCATAAAGCAACCCTCCACTGAGAGAAACATTTCTAACCCTGGCGCTTGAGCATCAGATCAAATAGAAAATTCAACATGTCTTGCGCATCATTTCATACACAGAATTCAGCATGACACACGGAGCATCACAGGATCATGACTCCAGTTTCGGAGTGAAAGCTTGTGCGTTTGAATTGAAGAAAGCATTCGAATGAGGTTTCCACTAGTGGGTTCAGTGAATTAAAAAGCTTTACGTCCAAATGAAAACCCTCTGGACACACTGTAGCATCCACTTTTGCTCTGCTCTCCAGGATGTGCTCACACACAGACACGCTTTTAATGCACCATACTCACGCAAAAAAAAAGTGGGATTTCACATGGGGGTACAAGTCAAAAGGAAAGAGAAAGTGTTTTGTAACCAACTGGCCATAACTGATATTGAAGCAAAACAAAATACTGGAAAAAAATGATGAATTATTCATTTGTATGCATAGATATTAATCTAATTCACGTCCCAGAAAGGCCCCTTTTATATCCTACAAGACTTTTACTGCAAGACTTTTATGGGAGATAAAAGGCTAATATACCAGCACACATCACTGCATGTTCATCATCCATGACCACACACACACTATGAGGTCTTACCTCACTTGAACGTCTGACTCTAACCTTTTCCCCTGTAGTGCAGCTCTTGCAGAGCAGACTCCTCGGCTGGGATTGTCACTATCAAACCCTCTTGTCTGCCTGACAGAAAAGATTCAGCCTCTCACAGTCTATTTTCAGACAACCTGCAACTCAATCACAGCAACATTGCTCCCCGCAGAAGGGTGGGCTGGCCTGGGGGGGGTCTTTCTTTCTCTTTTACCCGTGGCGATGGGGACAGGGTGGGGGATTAAAGCAGCTTGGGACTAACTCTGGAAATAGAATACACGCACCCACCCTTACAACACACACATGTGACTGTTCACAAGGAGGCACGCCAGCTGTGTGTGTGCGGCCATGTCGCCCTGGGAAACGTCGGGTCCTGTCTGTGTGCGCTGCCTAAGGAGAGGTAGGCCCGGCGGTTCAAAGTAATACAGGCTTAGGGAGAGAGACAAATTAGGGACATATAATGTCAAGGACTGAGATGTAGGACAAAAGATTTCCTGCGGAACACAAGCGGCCGGAACGCCGCAGCTGAGGAACGCCTCATGTGCTGCAGGTGTTTCGTAACACTTGTAGAGGACGTTGGATTGGTACATCCAGTGCAGTGGTGTTCTGTCTGCTTGTGGGTGTCAGATTCTGCACAGAGGTGACATATGCGATTCTATGTTTTGTGCCACCTGCTGGCTTCTGCAAGCTGCTGGAATATTCAGACATTAAACTGAAAGCAATTTATTCAAAGTTGGTCCAGTAGCATTTTCGCCATTAAGTGCATACTTCTGAAAAGCTCTAAATAAGGCTGCTTTAAAAACACAAATGATTAAAGTTAAGTTAAAGTAGCAAAAGTAATGGTTTAAAGGATAGATTTGTTCTGGTTTTCAGTTCGATAGACAGAATCTTGCCAGCAAAGCAGGTCCTGTGAACCATTAGTATGCAATGGCAACACACATGATGGTGAAACAAAGTCAGGAGTCATCCCTCGAGTACAGAGAAGAAAAAAAAGAAAGAAACAGAGACAGAGTAGGCCTCTGCCTAAGATGGGCTTAGCTTGATTCAGAAAGTCAGAGCAGAGTTTGCTCACAAAGACACTTCAAAAGGAGACATCAAATCCTCGAGCAGCACTCCTCAATGCGCAGCCCTCATGTGGAACCTCAGTTGTTTTCCACTTCAAGGGCACCTTCACTTGTGAAGAAGCTACCTTTCAAAATGCTTTTACAGAATTCCATCACAAGGTTTTTCTCGATACAGCGGCACAGCCTCGCCAGGACCAGGATGCTCCACTTTTACAATCCACTGTTACAGATCTTATTCTCCGCCGCTGTATGGTTGGCTGCAAGCCGCTTAGCGGGAGAATGATTCATTTTTGTAACTTTAATTTACTTTTGCTTCAAGGCGTGGGGCTAAAAATGTCCAATAACAGACTGTAAAGTGCCGGGAAGTGAGCAGAGAGGATGCAGATCTGCTGCTGAAAGACGAAGGAGCCTAACTGGCTGCTCTGGAAAAGGTGAAGACAGGAATCAGGTCACGATGTGACCCCATGATAACCCCGAGTCCCCTTTCACCTCTGACACCTTGTGACAATCACTTCCTTCTAAAAGCCAACTTGCAAAGTATGAGAAGAATGAGTGAGGACTTTCTTCTCATCACTGCGGCATGTTTGTGTGTGAGAGTCTTATCAGGACATGCTCCAACAGAGATAGTGGATTGGGTTTCCTGTAGGGGAGGCCCATTAATGGACACTGCTGTTCTGTGGCCTTCAGGGTGTATACACAGAATGTGGATTGAAAGGTACCTGTCCGAGCGCGCACGCAGCTCACAGAACAGTACAAATTAACAGACGCAAAGGCGTGAGCGTGAATGACATGCATAGAATAGTTTATGGTGCAGTTATTTGTAGGCTTGGAAAAATCAGTCACTTTCAGGATCAGGATGGAGGAGGAAAAGGGGATTTTATTTCCCCTCCCATCAAAAAAAAAAAAATTACATTCATGTATTTAGACTCCAGAGTAAATCATTACTTTCATTTAAATTGTGGGGTATCTGTAAGTCAAATCTACTTGTGAGACATTCTGAGTTGCATAATTGAGTTCTGGAGATAAAACTATTAACTTCACATACAGAAAAACACTCAAAACCCTAAAAATGTTTCTGAAAGATTGAAACAATTAGTTAAAACAGTAGTTTAATGTCACTGTTTTTTAACTTTCAGATCATGTAATGGGACCTAAATAATAGGGCACCCTCCTTCACAAAGCCATTCACACCTTGTGCCTTAATTCATGTACTTTAACGGTTTGCTCAAGGAAAACATAATTATTTATCAACCATTTACTTAGGTGGTCACATAAAAATGCCTCAAAAGTATGGCTCGCCGTAAAAGAGCTTCATGGTTTATGCTGCAGCTGAGCTCTAATAAAACACTGTCTCTGCTCTCTCTCAGCGGATGGAATTTAGCAGATGCAGGCATTATTAGACAGCTCGGAGGTTTACAACACTCACCTCATGCTGTGCCACAACAGATAAAATAAATCATGGCAAGCACTGCCGGCGCTCTGCGAGTATGAGCGTGTGTGTGTGTGTGCATTTTGACAGAAACTTGTGGTACTGAGAAAGAAAGTATTAATATGATGAGGCAAAACCATGCTTGGGTGGAGGGAGAATACACAGAGCGCCTTTCAGCTGTTGTCTCACCTCAGCCTGGCAGTGTCTGGGCATGTGCTGGTCTTAAGTGTTTTCACACTCGTGGGATTGCACGTC